GAGCTGTTTTGCTCTATCCAGTTCTTATAGAAAACGTTTCCTTTCTTGGCTGCCCAGCACTACAAATAGTTTAGTTATAATGCTCTGTCCTGTAATGTTTTCCTAAATCCTTACTTCTTCACTTCATGCCATGTTCATGCCCTGGTAATCTGCTTTCCTACTGACACAACTTGCTCATACCATCAGGATATCTCCAGAATAGCACAACCACAGAATTCACATTTCTCCTGACAAATACTCAATACTTGCCAATATACATTTTTGTTGTCCTATGCTGTTAATGTCTAGCTTTACCTTGTGTTCCTCTTCACATAATATCTCACTGAAAGCCATATCTACAGCTGGTCCAACATTGGATCTTTTGTAAGTAGGACTCTTAGCTCCCTTCATTTTCATTCTCCATTTGTTTTGGTATATGTTTGCTTTTAGCGTATTGGTAATTACTCCACATTTCAGACCACAAAACAGGGATAAATATCTCCCCTCTAACTTAAAAAAAAACACTCTAAGCACCATAAGCCATTCTTAACCAGCTTCACGACATACGCTACGAAGGCAACAGGACATTCCAAGCCCCATAACCGCTACCTCAGGCCGTAGTGGTTATAGTGCTTGGAGTGTTCTTGTAATGGATCATTATCTGTAGTTTATTTATAATGATTAGCTGAGTAAAAATACTTTGACCAATGGTTTCAGCAAGACCTTTAGAATATTTATGATATTTATAACATGCCCAAAGCATTTTAGGACTTGGCCTAGACTCCAAGATGGTCTAAGTGCAATAGAGCTGGACACAATTGTCCTCTTCATTTTAAATCCTTTAATTCTGTTCTGTGAAAGCTGGATATTGACAGTTACAGCTTTTGTAATTGTTACACATGCAGACTTCTGTTTAGTTTATTATATATAATATGCAGTCACAATAGTATACATTTTCACTACACATGACAAAACAGAAGCAAAACGAATAATATAAAAAAAATTAAGTGAATTAATTCCAAAATATCATTTAAGTAAACATAATTTTAAACTACATTGCATAATATAATACACCTATTATTGTACCATCATTTTTAAAATATATTTTAATTAATCACATTTAACCCACTCATTGCCTTCATGTTGCTTTCTTAGAAAACAACAACAAAAATCAGCTCGTAAAAACAAATTGTTTTCCATACATGCTTTAAAATAATCCACAAAAACAAAACATAATTTTTTTGCTCCTTTTGAAAATATGTATTACGTCCTGTTGGTTGATAATTGTGTGAAAAAAAGTAGAGAATTAAATGTTGTTTACCCACGCTCTTTTCAGTAGCTTCTGTGTATTTTTTGTCAATCTGTGTATTACTAATGTATAGATATATTCCTGTGTTATTACTTTTTTTATCTACGTATGCTATGTCTGCCAATTTATCTGTATCTTCCCGTATCTTTCAGCTATGTGTAGACATGTATAACAGTTAATATTGTCTGCTGAAATGTGACATTAACACTTCCTGCTTTTCAATGTTAACTGCACCTGCTGGTGAATTAAGTGGTTTCATTCACTAGAGTCCGAGGTTTCGCTCCGGTCAAAAATCATGCAGTGTCAACATTACTAAATGGTGTGCCTATTGACTTTGCTGATCTATGCTGAAGGCAGATGGAACTCTGCAAAATGCAAAACCCTGCTGAGTTCAGTGGGACTGTGTGACTATTCTTAATCTTATCTGTTAATCTGGGAGGTTAGGAGGGGTCACACCATGTTTAACAGCCAGGCGCACCAGGGCTGCAAACTAGAAATTGACCTGGAGGAACTCGTCTTTTAGCGAATATACTCCATAAATGTCTTGTTGTATATTTTTCATGATGTAAATATGTATTTTTATCTCTATTGATAAGGTTTAACTTCCCAAACTTGTTAATGCCAACATTATGTGAGTGGTGAACCAAGATCCAAAATGAATCACGATGACCTCAGCCTGCTAAACTTGATTAATGAGGTTTACTGAATAGTGATTAAAGTGTTTACTGAGCGCCTGCTTGCCTCTTCATATCACCTCATTCCCATTATGCTTCTATCCTTATATCCCACCTTCTAAAATTGTCTGTTCTTCGGTCAATTCACCAAATGCCACTATTACCTGAGTTCCCTGTGGATAACTGTTTGGGTAAACATTTGTTAGCTCGGCAGCACATTGGTATTGAACCTCAGAATGTGATTGTATGACGTAAAGCATTCACTCACTAGCAGCTTGGCCATTTAAATATTTATCTAACAGCTCATATATAAGTGATCTCAGTGGGAATTTTATGAACCTCCTGAGATGGCAGCTATCTGTAGGGCAACTCTGCAAACTGAACACTGGCCAAGGTCATATATTCCAGTTCAGGTTTAGGAAAAATAAGCTTTTTATCCGCAAAGTATGAGCAGGGGGGTCTAGAAATGTCACCTATGGACTGCACCCATGAAATAATTAGAATACATAGATATATCTCCAGATCTGTGTTAGTTTCCATATATGTACTATCGCTATAATTATAGTTGATATCGATGTTTAACCTATAGAGTTCAAATCAACTTGACTAGTCTAAACAATATATGAAATCTAATTGACTTCACCACCATTACAGCGATACATTAGAAGTGGAATTCTGTAAATCTTTTTTTTCCTGTTTTACAGTGCCATGGGACTATTAAAAAGAGAGCTCTAGATGCGGGTTGTTTATTTACACTGATTACAGACTTGTGTGTCTGGTTTCTAACTGTCATTCAATATTCCTGCAGTGAAAGACACACATGGTCACATTACACTAACAGGTGGATTCCTAAACTACACCACCTACACTGTTCTCGGGCTAACACCAGCCTAGCTTGTTGCAGGAGCAAAGCGAAAGCTTGTTTTTTTAAATTAAATAACAATACACATTGGAGTTGTCCTCTGGAAAAATCCCAAATAGTGATTGGACCAACTCTATTCGGTGTCCTCTCTGTTGGAGACTTATTCCAGATTTGTTATTTTGGCTTAAAATCTCTTTTTTGTTTTCAACAATTTCCAGTGGAATTTCCATTTTCCATGGATATGTGTAGGGAAAAGAAAATGATTGACACACTAAACAACATTATTAAGGTTTGATCGACCGATGGTAATTCTAAGCAGTTGATGTAATGTTAGACAGCTAATGTTAATGGTAGCTATCATATTTTTTTATATATTATTTTGGATCTTGTGTTTTTTTAGCCACTGTTTGCATTTCCAAATTTGGGATCTGAGCCGTAACGTTTCTATATACTTTATTGTACACCTGTGTGTATCTATTGTTTAACCTTTTCTATGTCATGCAGAACAGAGAACTGCAGGGCACACTCACACCTAAGAGGCTAGGAGAAAAGGGGTGGGGGGTCACCTTGGAAGCTTCTTCCCACCCCCAACTAACCCCACTTTGTTCTTATTTCAGCGGGCGCATTCATTATAAGGACATGTACAGTTTGTTACGGGTTATCTCCCCCCCGCTGGGGTTGGGGAAGAAATGCCCCCACAGGGTGGCCTGCAAGGTTTGGAAAACCATTAAAAAAAAATAAAAAATAAACAAATACTCCCTCCCCATGAAAAAAAAATCCACAACCCTCTCCTTCCCTCCCATTTGCCCTCCTCCTTCCTTTCACCCCTAAATAATATTCCCTTCTCTTCCATCCTTCAAAACAAGCCCCTGATACCCTGCAAGAATTCGCGGAATGCGCGTTGCTTTCACCTTCCTAATTCAATATATATATTCCATATATATATTCCTATATGAAGCTGTATTCAGCTGTGTACACATTATGCATCCTCTCTCTTTGGCTTCTAGAGGGTTATTTACTCACCCTTTGGTAGCTAAAGGGCTTTTAGTTCCCAGATAAAGCATGGGCTTGCTGGGTGTTGGGTATGGACGGTGGTTTATTTTTGGGAGGGGGGAGCCTGCTCTAAAGAAGGAAGGATTGCTTGATGAAGGGGGGGAGGGGTGCGGAGTAGTCTCAGGGGGGCTCCATTAACCATTCTGGATCTCCCTCCCCATTCCATAACCTTTGCCCCAACACACTCCCTTTACCACCACCACCGAAAACATCTTCCTCCCTGCTCTCTGAAATTCCACCAATCCAAAACGGCAGGATGAACTATAGATTTTACCTGTATTGTAAAAAGAGATTTGTACACTCAATGGATATTAGCTGATCTAAACCTGTTTATTTGTTTTGTTGACCAACACAAGAGGATACTGGAAACCCAAGGAAGTTCTTTTTATCCTAAAAAGCCACAAGGCTGCATGACACCTGTTCCCACTGCATATGGAAACCCCAGTGGATGGTTCCACAGTGGGAACTGATAAAGCCCCTACTCGCCTGTAATCATTGGGTCAGGTGTTAGTACTTTGGAGAGAAAGTTGTTATCCCCTTGGAAAAACCGGGAAGGCGACCTTTGCTTTCTCTGTGTCACCACCTCAGACAATGATCTAATCGCTTTTCACCCCCCTTTTATCTCCATGTTTCCTCCAATCCTTCCTGCTACCCGTTCCTCTCTGTGTCCTGGGTTATGCGCGCTCTCATGTTATTATTCCTCTCATTTTTTTCTTCCTCTTTCTTCTTGTTCTACTCTTTTTCTTCTTCTCTTCACACATGGCATTGTTGATCTCCCTCTTCCTTCAACCATTATCTTTCTGTATCCCTTCCCCTAACTTTTCATAAAACCAATTATACTTCTTTTGCCTGTTTTTTCGCTTTCTTTCCATTCCTATTTCATGTTGAATATTTTCTATTCATCTGTCACCTTCATGTGGATTCTTGGTGTCATCTTATTGTATCTAATCCCATTCTACAATCATCACTGCTATATTTAATGTTCCTATGTAATGTCCTCTATGCTAAAAATGTTACACACATTGTTAATTTCATCTCTAATCTTTTCAAATGCATCAATTCTTACCACACCTTATCACCCCATCATTTCCTACAACTTGCCTTTCTTCTTATTTCCTGTTGTGCCATTTAATTTTCTTTCCTCACCACACACATGCCCCCATTTCTCTGCCTTCTCCATACATTCCTTCCCTCTCAATCTCGTTTCCACACCTCTGTGGCTCCTCTCTCTCTGTTCCCAGGGGTCGCATGAAATACACAGACTTGTATGAGATGCTCAGACTTATCTCGCCTCCCTTGGGTCTGGGGAAGAAATGCCCTGCTCGAGTTGCTTATAAGGTAGATCCCCTCCACCTCCCCTGACTCCCTAACCCTTCCTTAGTCCGTTCAACCCAACCTATAACCTACCAGAGAGAGTTAACTTAACCCTCCCGCTGCTGGTGTCAATGCATTGTTATGCCCCATCAGTAGGGGGGTTAAACTATACCCCAAAGAGTTCCCAAATGGCAGGACCCCTCTCTTGACCGGAAGCCTCTGGACAGCTCTTTGTCTTTTCAATGTTATTTTTTGGATATCTTCTTGACGTGGAGATGTGCTGTCAATGTGTGTGTTTGTAGTATCTCTGGAGACGTGTCATAATTTGGGGGGGAAATAAACCAGAAATATTTATCCTACTGAGATCAGCCTGTTGACACAGTATATACATATCTGCCCAATAATACTGAGTGAGTCAGACTTGCTCAGCTGATCATAGCCCATGTCCATAATTTTGGCGAAAATAAGAAGCATAATTGTAATTGTAACAAAAAAAGAACGGTATACCAAAAGAATTACATAACAGAATTTTCATAGTGAGTTGTTAGCAGACATTAGAGTATACAAGGAAAAATATCACCAGACGAAACAGGACAGAAACACGTAATTATGCTGTATCTAAGTGCTACACATTAAAAAGTGTAGGGTTTCACTAATGACATATTTTAATGGGAGTTAAGCAGTCAGTTATTATCCAGGGACCTTTTAGATGTCAATAAATATATTTATTTAATAAAGTCTAACTAGGCAAAAATAGTGCAGTTGCAGCATAAACCGTGAACAGTACTAACACTATGAAAGTCCCTAGAATAAAAGCCTAGTGGTAGATTAGATGAACTTGTTTTTTGAAAACGTATTTATTGTTTCCTTACTGCTTTTATCTACTTGATTGTAATTGCTAGACATTGACTGTGACATGGAGAGTCTTGCCCATAGTGATGTGACTACTGTTTGTGATTGTTGATACCCAAGAATTGGAGTTGTCCCATAAGGCTGTTACTATAGCAATTGCAGTTTTCTTTGCAAGCTTATTTGGAAACGTTGTGAGTTGGCCATAGTATGTTCGCTTCAATTTAGTTTGCCCCTTTGTTGGCACCTATAGCCAATATGTATATAAGAAGTAACTGAAGCACAGGGACAGGTAAGGTGTATGATTTATAAAAAATTGGGGCTGTTTGGCTGATGTGAACCTCAATATGGAGGATTTTTGTTGTAATACAGAATTAACTTTATCAATTCCTCTGGATTCCTAAATGGATATTCTGGAGGTTCCTGTGTGTATATATAGAGTGAGTTTATGCAAGCCCCTCTGGTTACATTGCTGGGTGTTCTGTATTTTCATGTTGTTTAAAATACTGAATGTTCTCTGCATTCCTCTGGTTACATGGAATGACATCCTATAAATGTCTCTCGAAGACTTATGTTCTGCAGGTTTATCCGGTTTAATGGAAGGATGTTCATCAGGGATTTTTGGCTATGAGAATGGATGTATTGCAGAATCCGGATTACATGATGTTCCACCGGTCCTCCTCGTTATAACGTTGTATGTTCTGCAGGTTCCTTTGGTTACCTGGAGTGATGTTCTACAGGTCTCTCTGGTTACATGGAAGGGTATTCTGATGGCAGGGAGTGATGGCCAGCAGGTCTCTCTGGTTATGTGATTGGATATTCAGCACGTCTCTCTAATTGTATGAATGGATGTTCTGCTGGTCTCTTTGTTTATGTGACTGGAAGTTCTGCTGGTCATTCTGATTGTTATTGGAAGTTCTGCCAGTCTCGATGGTTATGTGATTGGAAGTTCTGACAGTCTCAATGGTTATGTGATTGGACCTTTTGCCAGTCTCTACGGTTATGTGATTGGAAGTTCTGCCAGTCTCGATGGTTATGTGATTGGAAGTTCTGCTGATCATTCTGAATATGTGTTTTGAAGTGCTGGTGGTCTTTATAGTTATGCGATTAGACATTCTTCTGGTCATTCTGGTTATGTGATTGGAAGTTCTACTAGTCCCTCTGGTTATGTGATTGGAAGTTCTGCCAGTCTCTCTGGTTATGTGATTGGACATCCTGTCAGTCTCGATGTTTATGTGATTGGACGTTCTGCCAGTTTGTCTGGTTATGTGATTTGAAGTTCTGCTGTTTTCTTGTTATATGAATGGATGTTCAGCTGGTCTCCCTGGCTATGTGACTGGAAGTTCCGCCGATCTGTCTGGTTATGTAACTGGACCTTCTTTATTACGCTCTACTTATTATACTAGATATTCATTGGTTTGGTGTGGTTATAGTACTGGATTATCTCCAGTACTCTGTCATAACTTGACTGGTTATTTTGCTGATTCCTCACATTACATGGCACGATGACCTACAGGTCCCTTTCTTCAGATATTTCTGGTTATGTGCAATTCTGTTCAGCAGGTGTTTACACGGAGAACAGATCTACATGTCCTGGTAGCTATAAGACCAGAATTTTTGCAGGTACCTTGATTACAAGACTGAATATTGTCTGAATTACGCTAGTTTCATAGCTGAATGTTTTTTGAGCACCTGTAAATAAATGACTGACAGTGCTGCAGAGAAACCTGCTTACATGGAAGGGTGTCCTGAAGGGCGTTCCCTGTGGTTGTATCCTTCACTGTTCTGAAAGTCCTTCTCATAACATGGCTAGGTTTTCTGATGGTCTCTGTAATGTTTAAATTCTTGCTTGCTCTGCAGATTCTCCTGGTTGGTGACATGACTAATATTTGCAGGATCTCTACATTGCAAAATGTTCTATAAGCAGTTGATGTTCTGCAGGTTCCTTCGATTACATCGAAGAAGAGCTAGAGGTCCTTCTGTTTCGCTGCCTAGATGATGTGCATGTACCTGTGGCTACATGATTCATGATTTAGTTGTCTGGAGGACACATTGATTCCATTACTGAATGTTTTTCAGGTTTCTCTGATTATTTCTCTGATTACAAGGCAAGAAAATCTGCAGGTTTCTCTTAATTGGCTGCAGTGTCTACATGATCCTCTGACGACTTTAAAGGAGACTATGCAAGTCTCTCTGGTAACCTAGCTCAAGAATCTGCTCATTCTTCTGACTCTCATGCAGGCTAATCTGAAGGTTTATTAGGATACTTGGTGCTAATCTTATGGTTTCTTGGGACACTTGGCAAGATAATCTGAAGGTACGTTGGGATACCTGAGAGGCCAATCTGAAAGTGTCGTGGGATACTTGTCCGGCTATTCTGAAGATTTTTTGGAATACTTGGCAGGATAATCTGAAGTTGTCTTGAGATTCTTGGCAGTCTAATCTTAAGGTTTCTTGGGATACTTGGAAGACTAATCTGAAGGTTCCTGTGGCTATTAGGATATTTTGCATGTCCTTTTGTCATGGCAGGGTATTCTCAGGAAATACACTGCACAAGCTGTTTACCTGGTCTCTTCTCCACATGTAAAAAAGGCCCATCCCCAAGTGTTTTAGTAAATTGTTGAGTTATATTGCAATACCACGAGGATGGCCCAGGTGTATACTCTAAAAGTCTCCACTTTATATGGATGTATGCTTTACAGATTTTTAAATGTGACCTTAGGAAAAACAGAGGGGCTAGTTTCAGAAAATTGTATTTTAGGAAAAAGGTGTAGTTTGACTACAAACGATAAGGGAGAGTAGTGGTTTTAAAGCCCCCATACTTTATACAGGCTGTCAATCTTTCCACACCCCTTTCTCTCTCACTCTGCCTCTCTGTATCTTTCCCTCCTCTCTGTCCACACTCACTATGGTAAGTGTTTGGTGCATTAACAGGGTCATGCAGGCCTGACTTGCCCCCCCCCTCCTGCTCTTTCCTGCTTGAATAGCATCCTACGCAAGAAAGAAAATAGTAATCTACCTACAATTTCATAACCTTTATTATTAATGTGTTATTACCAGGTGTTCTCGTCCTCTGTATAGCTCTGTACTATCCTATATAAATATATATACTATACCTATATACTATATCTATTACATGGCCCCTCACCCTATAACTGCCCTTACCTATCTATTATATATTACAGGACCCCTTACCCTATAACTACCTCAACCTATCACTGCTCTATTACAGGACCCCTCACCCTATAACTGCCTGTACCTATCACTGCTCTATTACAGGACCCCTCACCCTATAACTGCCCTGTACCTATCACTGCTCTATTACAGGACCCCTCACCCTATAACTGCCCTGTACCTATCACTGCTCTATTACAGGACCCCTCACCCTATAACTGCCCTGTACCTATCACTGCTCTATTACAGGACCCCTCACCCTATAACTGCCCTGTACCTATCACTGCTCTATTACAGGACCCCTCACCCTATAACTGCCTGTACCTATCACTGCTCTATTAAAGGACCCCTCACCCTATAACTGCCTGTACCTATCACTGCTCTATTACAGGACCCCTCACCCTATAACTGTCCTGTATCCATCACTGCTCTATTACAGGACCCCTCACCCTATAACTGCCCTGTATCCATCACTGCTCTATTACAGGACCCCTTACCCTATAACTACCTCAACCTATCACTGCTCTATTACAGGATCCCTCACCCTATAACTGTCTGTATCCATCACTGCTCTATTACAGGACCCCTCACCCTATAACTGCCCTGTATCCATCACTGCTCTATTACAGGACCCCTTACCCTATGGGGTCCTCAACCTATCACTGCTCTATTACAGGACCCCTCACCCAAAACTGTCCTGAACCTATCACTACTCTATTACAGGACCCCTCACCCTATAACTGTCCTGTATCCATCACTGCTCTATTACAGGACCCCTTACCCTATAACTACCTCAACCTATCACTTCTCTATTACAGGACCCCTCACCCTATAACTGCCTGTACCTATCACTGCTCTATTACAGGACCCCTCACCCTATAATTGCCCCGTACCTATTACTGCTCTATTACAGGACCCCCCACCCTATAACTGCCTGTACCTATCACTGCTCTATTACAGGACCCCTCACCCTATAACTGCCTGTACCTATCACTGCTCTATTACAGAACCCCTCACTCTATAACTGCCCTGTATCTATCACTGCTCTATTACAGGACCCCTCACCCAATAACTGCCCTGTACCTATCACTGCTCTATTACAGGACCCCTCACCCTATAACTGCCTGTACCTATAACTGCTCTATTACAGGACCCCTCACCCTATAACTGCCTGTACCTATCACTGCTCTATTACAGGACCCCTCACCCTATAACTGCCCTGTACCTATCACTGCTCTATTACAGGACCCCTCACCCTATAACTGCCCTGTACCTATCACTGCTCTATTACAGGACCCCTCCCCCTATAACTGCCCTGTACCTATCACTGCTCTATTACAGGACCCCTCACCCTATAACTGCCCTGTACCTATCACTGCTCTATTACAGGACCCCTCACCCTATAACTGCCCTGTACCTATTACTGCTCTATTACAGGACCCCCCCACCCTATAACTACCCTGTATCTATCACTGCTCTATTACAGGACCCCTCACCCTATAACTGCCTGTATCTATTACTGCTCTATTACAGGACCCCTCACTCTCTATAACTGCCTGTACCTATCACTGCTCTATTACAGGACCCCTCACCCTATAACTACCTGTACCTATCACTGCTCTATTACAGAACCTCTCACCCTATAACTACCTGTACCGATCACTGCTCTATTAAAGGACCCCTCACCCTATAACTGCCTGTACTTATCACTGCTCTATTAAAGGACCCCTCACCCTGTAACTGCCCTGTATCTATCACTGCTCTATTACAGGACCCCTCACCCTATAACTGCCTGTACCTATCACTGCTCTATTACAGGACCCCTCACCCTATAACTACCTGTACCTATCACTGCTCTATTACAGGACCCCTCACCCTATAACTACCTGTACCGATCACTGCTCTATTAAAGGACCCCTCACCCTATAACTGCCTGTATCTATCACTGCTCTATTACAGGACCCCTCACCCTATAACTACCTGTACCGATCACTGCTCTATTACAGGACCCCTCACCCTATAACTACCTGTACCTATCACTGCTCTATTAAAGGACCCCTCACCCTGTAACTGCCCTGTATCTATCACTGCTCTATTACAGGACCCCTCACCCTATAACTGCCTGTACCTATCACTGCTCTATTACAGGACCCCTCACCCTGTAACTGCCTGTACCTATCACTGCTCTATTACAGGACCCCTCACCCTATAACTGCTTGTATCTATCACTGCTCTATTACTGGACCCTTCACACAATAGCAGTCCTGTATCTGATCCTTTGACCTCTAATTATACAGTTATTTCAGACATATTTCTCCATTTGTATGACCTTCTTCCCCTTTTTGACATATATATATTAATGTCAAGCTCAGGAGATCTAGTTTTATATACAAAGCTAAGGTTTCTAATTTTAGGTCTCTCAGATCTGACTGTTACACGTTTCACAGCTTTGTTTGTGAATGTATCTCTTTCTCTCTTTTTACTCCCTCTCTCCTCTTCTCACCCTCTCCTTCGTTTCACTCTCTCTCGCCCTTCTTCCTCCCCCCCAAGACGCCCTCTCCCCCATGTGCTCCCCCCTCTGTAGGAGTACTAGTTCTACGAAGGGATTGCATGGGGGGTCCCTGCATGCTGCACGTACCAGTTTTGCACGTCGCATGAATTTGCTTGTGTTTTTCGCCTGCTGATCTCGGCTACAGTTTGGGCTGCCGGTTGGTAATTTACACTTCTTCACTGCCAGAGTATAGGTTGGTAGCTTGTGAGAAGGCAAGATCCATTTTTGTGTTCACTCTGGTGTTGAAGGGGTAATATCAGATGCATTTTTTTTTTGTCTCCATACAGAACTCTGAGGCTCTGGGCATTACTTCTAGATAGAATGTTGAGCTCAGATACGTTTATAGCAGGGGAACTTTATACACGTGGGGCTTGATAGGTTATTCTTCTGTATAAATTGGGAAAGTCTTAATGTCTTACATCTAGAAAAGCTGTAGTTATAATGCAATTTGCTGCACAATAAACTGATATAAGATGGCATGGTAGGGTTTAGCTGAGTATAGGCATAAGAGATGCCTATACTCAGAGCCTCTGAGTCCTGACTATAAGAGGGGGCAATGTTATGAATAGCACATCTTGCTCATATACTAACATGCAATTCCTTGGGTTCCTGTAGAGATTGTTAAGAATGGACCTTCCTGTTGCTGATGATAACACAGTGCACTTCAATTCCACTCTCATGGCGCTCATCCGAACAGCATTGGACATTAAGATTGCCAAGGGTAAGGGAATGAAAGTATATCAATAACATGTAACACTTTTGTTCTACGTAGATCTCCAGTAATAATATTTGTAACTAATCTCTTAATTAAACCAATTAAAAGATTAAATCTTAAAGGGGCAAGCTAGTTTGAAAATCACACCGTGCATGTATTAAAGTTTGTAATTTAAGCCTAGAAATAAAACTATGCTATAGTTCTATTTATCCATAGCTGCATCTCCACTGAACATGTAACTGAATTTCTTATGTAGGAAGCTCATTGATAAGTAATCAGGGTGTCGAACATGATACCCATAGAAAATCATTAAAGGAACATGCATCACTTGGCAATTCTTATTTAAGCTAGCAGGCAAACCCTTTTAAACAAAATTGCTAACCGAAATAAAGCAAGAAAAACTTTTTAAATTGGTTAGACAGCATTGTTGGGCACGCCTCTCAGCTAGGGGCATTTCTTCAGCCCCCCTGTCCCTGCCCCCCATTTCCCCTGCCAACTCTTATACACACACTAATCCAGTCCAAATCAATCCACTAATAACTGAAACAGGATCAGACTCCCTCTCTTTCCCCCTGTCTGGATGTTGTAAGGTGAAGAGATCTTCCAACTGCATCGGTGTGATTCACTCAGGCATGCCCAATGCACATTTCCAGCATTCCTAGGAATAGGACACTAATTAGTTAGATCAGTGCCGCACTGGAGTGGGTGTGGAAAGCATGATAAAGAAGAATCTATAAATAAATCTAAAAAAATGAAATAATATTTACCTGCTTTGTTTCAACCCGCATCACGAGGCAACTGTCACATTCAAAGCTAAAGCTTTGGGGTTAAACCGTTTATTAACAATTTAACCCCTTGAGGTAAACTGGCACCAGGGACTTCCTTGCACCAAAATGACTTAATTCTGATCAAGTTTTTATGGTGCACGAAGTGTTCCGTTAAGATGTTGTTATGTTTAATTCAGAGGAACATTGGTGAGGCTGTGAACAATATGATATTTTGTAGGATTCACTGGAACATTAATGAGGTGGTGCATAACCTAATGTTCTCCAGGAAATTAGAGGAAGGTGAAGATGGTAGTGTTTAATGTGATGTTTTGTAAGAGTTCAGGGCAACATTGATGAGGTGGTGATCAGTGAAATATTCTACAGGAGTTCAGAGGAGCACAGTGAGTTTGTGTACTTTGTATGAACATGGATTAAATACAGGGATACTGAATAAGCAACACTGGTTTAGATGCCCGTTGATCAGGACACAAAGTTAAAAAAAGTTCAGATGCACACAACAAAGGACAAGTGGCATCATGCCCATAGTCACAGAATGATGGAATGATGTTGAACATAGAAATACTTTTAGTAGAATGCTGTGTAGTGAAAAGTTATATTCAGATATTTACTTGTGGGTTTTTTGTTTGCAGGTGGAGTTGATAAGCAGCAGATGGATAATGAGCTGAGAAAAGAGATGATGGCAATTTGGCCAAATTTGTCCCAGAAAACTCTTGATCTGTTGGTCACACCACACAAATGTAAGTAATTCATCATCCAATTTAATGAAAGCCATGACAGTGGATGTAATTAATGTAATAAATGTAATGTGGCTGCACTCTGTGTGGCAGTTTAACCCCTTAAGGACCAAACTTCTGGAATAAAAGGGAATCATGACATGTCACACATGTCATGTGTCCTTAAGGGGTTAAGGCAATATCCCTAGCACCTATAGACTCAATTGTGAAGTATCGGGAAACAATTCTGAAATTCACTTTGCCTTTTCTTAGCTACAGACTTAACAGTGGGGAAGATTTACGCAGCGATGATGATTATGGAGTATTACAGACAGAGCAAGGCAAAAAGACTACAGGCACTGCAAGAGGAACAGGTATCAGTAGTGCATCTGTTTCTCCATTACATAATTATCCCATAGAATAAGTAACAGTGATAGTTAAAGGGACACTATAGTCACCAATACAATCTCTAACTTAATTAAGCAATTTGGCTGTATAGATCATGGTTCTGAAGTCGCACTGCTCTATTTTCTGCCATTTAGGGGTTCAAACACTTTTGTTTCTGTTTATGCAGCCCAAAGCACACCTACCCTGGCTAAGACTGACACAGAATGCATGTAAAATGTGGTTTTATTTTCAAACTTAAGTTTAATTTACTTTAAACGTTTTTATCTCCTGTTCTTTATACTGAACTTTAATCACATACAAGAGGCTTCCGCAAGCTCTATCAAGCTATTAGCCATGCTGGAGATGAGAAATTTTTAATTAAACATAATTTTCAATAATAAAGTGTAAACATTAGATGACTCTTTACAGGAAGTGTTTAGGAAGGCTGGGTAAGTCACATGCAGGGAGGTGTGACAAGAGTTGCATAAACAAAGTGGTTTAACTAAAAAATGGCACGTTCTGCATACTATGCCCGAATCCGCTATCACCCAATGGGCAGAGCGGCCCCCACAAACCTATAAAGTGAAACCAACCTGAAGATATCACTACATGTCCCTAATATATGGCATCTGATCCCAAGATCAGATCCCCAACCTGTTAAAATGGTCACTGTCCTATAATGTTATTTTTGTTTTTACAAATGATTTAATGTACTGCAACATTCTAATTATATGAGACACTTCTGTTATATGGCCTGAGAAGGCATGACTAATGTTATATCATCAAGAACCTGCGTGTTCACCAATAATAATGCGTTCTGTATCCCCTTCTGCACACAATATCCAATAAGACTCTTTTTATTTTCTTAACTCCGAAATGGCAGAGAATTGAGCAGTGAGCCTGCATGGTCGTGATCTATACACCAAAACGTCTACATTAAGCTAAATTTGTTTTGGTGACTACAGTGGCCCTTTAAGTGCTTTTATATCAAGCAATAGCTACCTTCCAGTATGAATTAACAACCCTTACCAGGAAAACATGTATGTATTAAATCCCCAAATTAGATCTCACAACTATATGTTTTAAATATTATTAATTAAAATTAACATTTTGTTATTTCAACAAGTACTTCAAGTATTTCAAAACAGCACACCAAGCGTACCTTTGCATCTTTTCCATACCACATTGGTTCTTGTACAAAATAAAAGGCCAACCTTCTGCTAGGAAATCACTACATCAATAAGCAAGGAAGCAGTATCACACACATCGAATTTATTTATATTGCAATTTCTACCTTTAAATGTGCTTTTTCTATTACGCCTAATGAGGCAACATATTTTTAAATCAGCAAAAGTTTGCTGAAGTTGTGTGTATTTTAAACAAATATATATCGGAAGTAAAATAAAGCATAACAATTAAAATACCCATTAAATTTGCAATGTCCAGTTAATATTGCATGTCACTTGACATGCGCATAGTCGCCTATATCGGCATATTCAGTTAACCTTAATACCCAATCCCCATTAAAACGCAGACTACCACTTAATGTTGGAAAATATTTGTCCACAGCTTTATTAACACATAGGATGTGATAAAACATATAAGGTCATTGCCAACACCTAACTCATATTACTTAAATGCCCCTCAACCACCGAATGTAATTAACTCTGGCAATGACCCACAAATATAAACCACGATGTAACAATAATAATAAATATTATTAACACATAACACACCAGCCAAGTGGTACGATTACCAATATTACAAACTGTAGGGGTATACCGTGACACCCCTACACCCCCAGGTTCAGAGCCACCGACAAGCTCAAACCTACCAAACAACTATAACCCAGTGAGTATTTTCACACTCAACCTAACCCTGCACATTATTAACTTGCTCTACCCCACCAAACCCCTAAATCCACCACTGTGACCAAGCGGGAAACACTGTTAGTAGTACAAAGGGAGGGAGGGACAACTATAGGTAAGAGAAGGGTAATTAAAATTGCCACTACCTAAGATGGCCGATATATATACCAACTCCTAAGCCCACCACTATTAACCCATTATCCAATTAACTAATTGATTCCTATGCCTGCTCCCTAGCTCTGTCAAGGCCCATTCCACTTGCTATGCTGCTCCATTGACTACAAGACTGTGCAGAAGAAAAAAATGTTTATTTACTGTGACGGTAGTCACCATCACCTGGGGTTTCATACGGACATTCTATGTAGGACCCTGGACTATGTTTAGATCACCCTGTGTCCATTGTGGGTGGGTGAAGGGTGTGTGTGTAATGTGGTTGTTTGGGGTTAAATGATAGTGTGCTCTCCTGTCTTGCAAATGCTTGCAATCAACTAGGTGGATTTGGCTGTGGAGCCTGTTGGCTGCAAGGATCTAGCAACCGCTGCATGCACTACCTGAATAGCAAGGATTGCTAATATGCATATTCAGGTAGATTTGCATATTGCTGTTTCTGCAGGCAGGAGAGATGTTTTGTGTTTAATAAATCAAGAGCGCTAGGCCTGAGAGCCTTAAGTGTCTATACAAAGGCAATATCCTTAAGTAAGCAGCAGGGCCACCCCCCCCCCCTTCACCCTTCCCACACACCCTGTCACACACACAGGCAGACAGCCATACACACACACACAAACACACGCAGTCAGTCACACACAGACAGCCACACACAAACACACACACACACAAAGACATAGAATGTGACGGCAGATAAGAACCATCTAGTCTGCCCAGACAGTCACACATACGCAGTCACACACACACAGGCAGAGAGCCACACACACACAAACACACACAGGCAGACAGCCATACACACACACACACAGACATAGAATGTGACGGCAGATAAGAACCATTCGGCCCATCTAGTCTGCCCAGACAGTCACACATAGGCAGTCACACACACACACACACAGGCAGACAGCCACACACAAACACACACAGGCAGACAGCCACACACACAGGCAGGCAGTCACACACAGACAGCCACACACAAACACACAGGCAGACAGCCACACACACAGACAGTCACACACACAGGCAGTCACACACACACAGGCAGACAGACACACAGAGACAGACAGACACACACACAGGCAGACAGCCACACACAGACAGTCACACACAGGCAGTCACACACACACACAGGCAGACAGACACACAGAGACAGACAGACACACACACAGGCAGATTGTCACATACACACAGACAGTCACACACACAGGCAGTCACACACACAGGCACAGACACACAGAGACAGACAGACACACACACACACAGGCAGATTGTCACATACACACAGACAGTCACACACACACAGACAGTCACACACAGGCAGTCACACACACAGGCAGCCACACACACAGGCAGACAGTCACACACACACACAGGCTGACAGTCACACACACAGACAGTCAAACACAGACAGTCACACACACACACACACTGGCAGACAGCCACACACACACAGGCAGACAGTCACACACACAGACAGTCACACACAGACAGACAGTCACACACACACAGACAGTCACACACATACACAGGCAGACAGCCACACACACACACACACACACACACACAGGCAGACAGTCACAGGCAGTCACACACACAGGCAGTCACACACACAGGCAGTCAGTCACACACACACAGGCAGACAGACACACACACACACATACACAGTCAGACAATCACACATAGTTACCTCTGTTCCTTGTGGAGGCAGACAGTCTCCTGGATTCTGGTTGTTGGGGACTCCTTCCTGCTTCCCCTGCAGTAGTTAGACAGCATTTTAGCTCCGCCTCCACCGCAGGTGAGCCCTGCCCCCGCCGCATATTTTTTTATTTTTATCCTCGGCCGGCCATGTGTGAGCTGTGCGGTCGCAGGGCACCCCCTGCTCCATGGCGCCCTGTGCGGCCGCACAGCTCGCACACCCCTAAGGCCGGCCCTGCTAAGCAGAGCTCCAGAGGAATAGGCAGAGGGCACGATCCCTGCCTGGAAGGAAAGCTGCAGAGGAATAGGCAAAAGGGACGATCCCTGCCTGGAAGAAGGGCTGCAGCGGAAAGGTCAGAGGGGACGATAACTGCTTGGAAGGAGAGCTGCAGCCTGGTTGAGGGGAAGAGCTCCAGGGAGACCCCAGTCAAGCTTCAGCGATTGGGCTTAAGCGTTCCAGGGCCCCTGCAGGCAGCTAGGAAGCGGATTGGCGGAGGTACTCAGTCGGAGTACAGGAGCTCCGTCACATTTACTAAACAGTATATTGAAATTAATGAGAAAATAATGGAAAATGGTGAATATTGTTGAATAGTATTGAAATTCTTAACTTCTTCAACTTAGCTCTTTTAGCTTAGACTTAGCAATACATTTTACCACTGTTCTTCACTGTTTCAGATATAAACCCATTACTCCAATAATGTAACAGACAAGTGTTAAAACAGCATCTAAAACGTATGCAATATATTTATTATCAGAAATTTTGAGAATGAGTTACAGTGACACGGCGGGCACCAACGAGATAGGAAATGCACAGTTCTGTGATGTGGAATAGGATATAGAACACAGACTCTATTGTAATCATGTTGGGCCTCTCCATGATCCTTTACTGACCCTTGGAGAGCCAAGTGTCTCTATCTACTCAGACCTGTGGATGACAAACTCTCTAAAAATAATCACTGATCTTCTAGTAACTGGGTAACACAGACAAGGTTGCCCTATGCTTGAAATTAAATTAACAAAACCCACAGTACATCCTATTAACCTTAGGTGAATCTCCAAATATCTACCCATTACCTGGGATGGAAGCATATTATGGAGTGATGTCCTACCCTTTCACTTTGTGCTATAGGGAGGAAAGGCAGTATTAAAAAGTGCAGGCCTAGTCCCTTGTCCCAATCACTTAATAATAAATAAACAGTGCACCTAAACCACTGCACACCTCACATGCAATAATATTATATAATAATATTATACCCTTGGATTGTACATCAGCTGCCCTGCTCGCTTTGTTGTTTCCTCCTGATTTTGCATTACCTCTTCTTTGCTCTTCGTAGACCTGGGGATTCTAGAGAACGGTGGTAGAGAAGAAGGAGTGTGCTAGAGCTTTGAGTTATGGGTGTTTCCATCCAAAATGAACTGTAATTGAGCTAGTGAGAAAGGGTCACGTGCAGCAGTAACATCAGCAGTGGCAGCCCTCATCTACTATACTACCTTTATTCCTCTATAGATGAGGTGAAGGGAGGTCCTGGGAATACATTTTACATTTAACCTGTAAAAGGACACTTCAGGCACTGTAATTACTTTATCTCAATACAAGTTGTTGTGATGTCTGTAGGTCCTGGGCACCATTGTATCTAAAGTGGTTAAACCATTTATAAGCTGTTATACCCTAAAGTGATCTCGGCAGCGCCTACCCTACTGGCACCTTTGCCTCCTCGTTTGGACAGGACTTCATTGCAGGAAGCCATTAACTGGGACACTCCCACGCTATCACTGGCCTCCCAGTCAGAACATGCTGTACCTTTCTTAAGCATTTTTTCACAATGGGCAATAACTGATAGGCTGAGAGCACCAAATGACACAAGGCAGCACTTAGCACCTCTAGTCACCATATCAACTTAATTAAGATGAAGAAGTTATAATACCCAGAGTGGCATTTAAAGAAATATTGGGGAAGTAAAATGTTTATTTGGTATCCCTTATCTTTTAATATCAGAGAGGATCTGAAATACTCCAAAAACTATAATTTCCTTGCATACAGTAGGTGTGAAAAAAATGGTTAAATATAATGTGAATATGTGTTTGCAATATCATCTGGATGAGATTTCTGGGAATGTAGCTTTCTAAAAATTACTTCCTAATGTGATAATAATGTTGGTGTAGTGCTGACACACTGTAAGTACAATTACACTAAGCATCTGTTCTACATAGGACAGGACCGCCCGTATTTCTAATGGCATATTTTAAGACAAAATATTATATGAATATACATATACATGTATGAAATGCTCTGTAACAGGCATTGACGTCATATTTGCGTGACAGGTGCACTTTAATGTACATGGTAGCTTTGCGTTCAGTCTTTTTTCTTCCCCTGCAGTAACTCTTTTTGCCCCATCTCACATACTTACAGACTTACGTATATATGAATTTTACATGACTTAGGATAAACCTTTTCTCTTACTACTTCAGAATCGGACCCCACTCATGTTCCAAAGGATGGAGCCTCCATCTCCGGATGGAAACCAGGGACTTAATGCTTTGCCCTCTTCCCAGCCAGGGGGAGAAATGTGAGTACCATTTTGCATGCTAATTTGTGCCTAATTGTCCTCGGACAAATACACAAAGATTTAATTTCTGTCTCTCCATCTCACACACTGTACCATGCCACATGTACACACAGCAGAGCTAATAAAATGAATTCCAGTCATATTGCACACACTGTTCCAATCTCTGCACTTGTAATGTTCTCTCCTCCAGGAATATACCCGAGGGTGGTATGAAGGAAAGCCAGTCCTGGATGACAGAAAGGGCTCAGAAAATGTTCCAGAAGACTGGTACCTGGAGTCCAGAGAGGGGGCGTACCCAGGACAACACTAACAGTTGGCCCAATTCCCAGGTCAGCAAAATGTCATACTTTCACTTTCTACCTCATTTTATCTGCATACTTTATATTTTGTTCTTTCTTTTTCCAGCCAATTAAATAAATTCATAGACAGACCACAAAATTAATAAAGAGAATAGAAGAATTTAGTCACAATTTTGTTTAGATGTCTTTAAACTACATTTAAAACATTAAGAGAATTTGATAGCATAAGTTCTTTGGAGACATGTCTATGAACTCTGCTATGAGACGACGGAACACTTAGTACATTTAAGAAATGCCCCTCCTTCTCAAACGATAGAGGGTCTGTAGGATACCTGCTAGTTGATAATTCAACATTCACACAACACATATGGGCAAGGAAATGGGTCTTCCAGATCCTCACTGATGTCTAAAACTTCAACCACATAGATCAGGTATTATAATAATTTTTAGATAATGACCTCCAAAAGTTTCCATCTTAATCGCTTATAATTTGTTTCTCCAGCATGTCTGCTGTGATGTTGAGTGGACAGTATTACCTTTCTCATTATATTTTTGATTCTCACCTTCTGTCTTTCTTGTATGACAGTCAGTGGAAATGAGAGAAATGGCATTAGATGGTTTTTCTGACAGCGAGCAGTACCTGGTGATTGAGGGACACGGGAGGGCAGCCTCAATGCCACGACTACCAGCTGACAATCAGGTAAAAAAAACAGCTTCCTAATCTGATACTCCGTTATAATCCTCACTTAAAGTCATCAGAGTCTTGTTCATCATAGATACCAGATCTAAAGCATTATGGCTCTACTACGTAACACAATCGCCATTTAAAAGGACATGGAAAGGCACGAACCCTACCTCGGACTTCTTAGGACACAAGAACAATGTAGGACCACTTTCTGAAGATCAAGCCACTCCCCCCAAAAAGATCTGCAAATGCCACTTATGGTGTCAAAATTGTGGCCATCTTTGCTATACATAGCAAGGCATAGCATTGACCATCCCCCAACACATCAGAGGAAATTAAATACTGAATCTAATGACATATTATTATGGACATCACACTGGATCTTTAGTGAAAGACTTCATTTATGTATCCACCATACATACATAACTTATAAAGCCTCACAATGTATCGGAATCGTGTTAAAGATCTGATGAGTGAGTATATTACAAGATTCCCAGCAAAACCAGGAAGCGCAACGTGCTCTGGCAACCTCTGTTTCATGTAGAATATGTTTATTACTCCACAGGGGACATGGCATCTGTCCAGTTTTTGCCTGAGAATGGGTTTTAATCTAAACCGATTCCACAGGAGATTCATTTGTTCAGTATTTATGGATTACCCAACCATTTTTTAATAGTGGTAACCATAAAACCTGCATCCTCAATGGTCCCCGTGGAATCATTTGAGAAACATAACAGAAGCCACATAGTTCATTGTTTTTACTAGTCTGATCAAAGCACCTACAGCACCATAGTTAAAGCACCTATCGCTACTAGTATACAATCACAGTATAAATACATGCAGGTCTATCCATTAATGTCCCAATGGCCAGTACCTAACCATCTGGTTCTATATGGACCATTCAAACTAAAAATACTGACATTGTTCATCCTATTTAACATGTTCAGATTTTGCAATTCTGGCTATGAATGTGTCTGGATTTTAGCCTATGCAAATACCTCTGTTTTAAATGTTCAAGTGAAGGGAAGAGGCACCCTGATTTCGGGGTACAGACAACTGGTATGGCCACCCCCTTCATAATATTTGCACCCAATATCCTTGGGGTTTTTGGGAAGGGACAGTGGCATACCCCCCATCCACAGTGTTATTTTATAGTCAGGCACCCATGGGTGAGAACTGCGAGGGGGCACAGGCATGTTCCCCCATATGTATTATAGCTCTCACCCCATGTGTTGGGGCTGGGGGAACACTGGTATGCACCCCCACATCTTTATCATAAGCCTCACCCATCACCTATGGGTCGAGGATGGATGTAATTTCTATATTATAGTCCTGCCCACAGGACAGGATGAGAGGGGGGCAGGAATGTCCCCCCATGCATTATTTTAGAACGTCCATCCACTTAGTGAGGGATTCTAAATTTAACCCTGAATGTCCATGTGAGAACAGGTGCAATTGGGAAAATATTCCATATTTTTTATTATTCACTTTTTAGAAGGCAAGTGAATTAAAATGTTCAAATAATGATAATTCTAATGACCAAATAATGATAATAATAATTATTATGACCAAATGTGCATGCTACCTGAATTGGTGCTTTATAAATGTTCGGTTATTATAGAATCTGAGTGTGAAGAGCACTGATTCTGAAGTTGATGCTGAATGAATCCAGGCAAATGGTGTATATCTGGTCGGAACAACCACATTTTAATCAGCTTTGGCTTTAGGGCTTATGAGAATTTCCAGTCCAATAAGAATTCGATAATTTTTACCAAATCCATCCAGAAAAATTAAAAAGTAAAAAAATCATTGTTGAAATCACAAATCACAAACATTAAATCACAAACATTAAATCACAAACCTCAAATCACAAACATTAAATCACAAACATTAAATCACAAACATTAAATCATAAACATTAAATCACAAACATCAAATCACAAACATTAAATCACAAACATCCAATCACAAACATCAAATCACAAACATCAAATCACAAACATCAAATCACAAACATCAAATCACAAACATTAAATCACAAACTTCAAATCACAAACATCCAATCACAAACATCAAATCACAAACATCAAATCACAAACATCAAATCACAAACATCAAATCACAAACATCAAATCACAAACATTAAATCACAAACATCAAATCACAAACATCAAATCACAAACATTAAATCACAAACATCCAATCACAAACATTAAATCACAAACATCCAATCACAAACATTAAATCACAAACATCCAATCACAAACATCAAATCACAAACATCAAATCACAAACATTAAATCACAAACTTCAAATCACAAACATCCAATCACAAACATTAAATCACAAACATCAAATCACAAACATCAAATCACAAACATCAAATCACAAACATTAAATCACAAACATTAAATCACAAACATTAAATCACAAACATCAAATCACAAACCTCAAATCACAAACATCAAATCACAAACATTAAATCACAAACTTCAAATCACAAACATCCAATCACAAACATCAAATCACAAACATTAAATCACAAACATTAAATCACAAACATCCAATCACAAACATCCAATCACAAACATCCAATCACAAACATTAAATCACAAACATTCTTATAAAGAGTTCTGCCAACAAATTAGTTGAGACATCTGCTCCTGTCTACCACAAACTGTTGTGCAGGCCACTTTCTGTACATTGCAGCTGCATTATACCACACACTGATTGCCAGCATTTGACCTAGAGAAAACATCTTGAAGGTACAATCACAGATAGCCACATGCTGCTGGATATAGAGGGAATTTCTAAATTCTAGTTGATATAGATTCTCTGGTAAAATAGCATTTTTAGTGCCAGGCCATTGATATCACTGCATTTGTTTTAGGCTATTTATATCAGTGCCTTCATTTCAGATGATATGAAGGCATTAGTGATGGATAATGAAATGATAGTAGCAGTGTCAGATTACTGTATCAGTGCATCAGTGACAGGCTATTTATATCAGTAATAAAATCACATTATTATTTGATCATGGTGTTCATGTAGTAGTCTCCGATCATTATTACCAGTGCACGGCCATTAACATAGAAACATAGAATGTGACGGCAGATAAGAACCATTCGGCCCATCTAGTCTGCCCAATTTTCTAAATACTTTCATTAGTCCCTGGCCTTATCTTATAGTTAGGATAGCCTTATGCCTATCCCACGCATGCTTAAACTCCTTTACTGTGTTAACCTCTACCACTTCAGCTGGAAGGCTATTCCATGCATCCACTACCCTCTCAGTAAAGTAATACTTCCTGATATTATTTTTAAACCTTTGTCCCTCTAATTTAAGACTATGTCTTCTTGTTGTGGTAGTTTTTATTCTTATAAATATGGTCTCCTCCTTTACTGTGTTGATTGCCTTTATGTATTTAAATGTTTCTATCATATCCCCCCTGTATCAGGTCATTAGACAAGACGGAAAAAAAGGAAAACTGTGAAACTTAACTTTTATTTAATAAGTAAAATTATATTGGAAAGTTTACTTAATATTAAAATGTTCTCCTAGTTTTATCAAGCTGTAAAGTCATGCAGACAGAACAAAAGTGTTGATTAGATGTAAATAAAGTACTAAGTACCGGTATTTACAACCATAATCCCTTTCTAAAGTGTCATTTGAGTTACAAAAGAGTTTGACATATGATTGAGACTGAGATCGTTCTGCTTGAGTAGTCACTAAGGGTCTCAGTCTAATCAATATTAAAATTGTAGATCCATTGGCAATGGATGTCTTGAAACATAAATATTAAAACAAATAGCAGAAAAAAAGAGATAGAAAATGACATGAGCTGGCCTCTTGAGTATACCGGCAATGGTGGTGAAATCACAATATTTATAAAATATGAAAACATTACACCTATTAGGTCAGAATACTACCGTGTTTCCCCAAAAATGAGACCGGGTCTTATATAAATTTTTCTCCTGAAAAAACACACTAGGGCTTTTTTCTGGGGATGTCTTATTTCAGGGGAAAATGATAGCAAGCATGTGCTATAAAGCAGGTCTACGTTAGGTTGATTCCCCCAAACATAGACCAATTCACTAGCGCATGGAATCCCACAAATCTATGTTCAGGGAAACTTCCCCAAACTTAGATTAGCGAACGAGAGCATGGAATCCTGTGAATTTCCCTGAACATTGATTAGCAACCTCGCAATAAGCAATTAGGGCTTTATTTCAGGGGATGTCTTATTTTCAGGGGAAAACAGTATAATAATTGCTTGTCTTGTGCAATAAGATATAGGGAAAGTGTAAATATCACTGTTAGTAAGTTATACCTCTAACATAAGTGTTGCCAGTAACCTTAAAGAAGAAAGAAAACCCATATGAGGAGGAAAATAAAAGTATCCAAAATATATTATTGTAATGCTCTTAAATGGTCAATAGGGATCACTGGCAATATAGAGGTGGAAGATGTTATTTATTACAGCAGTGCCCTAACCTGGTCACTAGATGGCTCCATCTCATCCAAATTGCATCAGTGCTAAAGAGACAAAAACTCCAGAAATTTCGTTTTAGTAACCACAGTTCTCCTTTTTTCTGTTTTGTTTGTCTAATGATATTTAAAGGCATGAAATCCCTGAGTTGTGTACAGCTGCCATTTACTTAAAGGGACACTATAGTCACCAGAACAACCACAGCTTATTGAATTTGTTCTGGTGAGTAGAATCATTACCTTCAGGCTTTTTGCTGTAAGCACGGTCTTTTCAGAGAAAATGCAGTGTTTACATTACAGCCTAGTGATAACTTCACTGGCCACTCCTCAGATGGCTGTTAGCGATCCTTCCTGGGTCATGGCTGCCTAAAATGTATCCAAACATTCAGTATATCCTCCCTCTACATGCAGACACTGAACTTTCCTCATAGAGATTCATTGATTCAATTCATCTCTATGAGGAGATGCTGATTGGCCAGGGCTGTGTTTGAATCATGCTGGCTCTGCCCCTGATCTGCCTCCTTGTCAGTCTCAGCCAATCCTATGGGGAAGCATTGGATCAGGCCACCACTTCTGGTGATGTCAGCTGACTGCTTGTTTTTTCTGAGACAAACATCATGCAGATCTACAGCTTCAGGCTTGAATACAGTAAGATTTTGCTATATTTATGGAGGCATGAGGGGTCCAGGGGGGCTAGATGGTGGTTTTAACACTATAAGGTCAAGAATACATGTTTGTGTTCCTGACCCTATAGTGATCATTTAAGGATTCCTTTTACATTTGGTTATTTCTATTAGTACATCATTGTTAGATAATTGTGTTAATCTAGTAGTGTCTGATCTTTGTTATGAGACCCAGACTGGCTGCAGTTTACTATTATCATACCACTAGTGCAAGATCACAAATATCAGTGTATTGACAGATCTTTGTTGTCAGATTGCAATAGACTCGATCATAGAATAAAGAACTTCTAGGGTTATTTGTTTTAAATGAGAAGTCAAAGTAAATTCAAGGTTAAACTCACATGCAAGGTCTGAGTAGCTGAACTGAAAGAATAGCTTTGGCTATTTTGACCATAAATTTGAAATTTACTTTGAATTCTCACTTAAAGGACCACTATAGTGCCCTGAGGGTGCCCCCACCCTCAGGGTCCCCCTCCCGCCCGGCTCTGGAAGGGGGAAAGGGGTTAAAACTTACCTTTTTCCAGCGCTGGGCGGAGAGCTCTCCTCCTCCGATCCTCCTCTTCTCCTCCCCCGTGTCGTATTCAGCCGGTCACATAGGAAAGCATTCATAATGCTTTCCTATGGACGCTGGCGTGCTCTCACTGTGAAAATCACGGTGAGAAACGCAAGCGCCTCTAGTGGCTGTCAATGAGACAGCCACTAGAGGAAATAGGGGAAGGCTTAACCCATTCATAAACATAGCAGTTTCTCTGAAACTGCTATGTTTATGAAAAAATGGGTTAACCCTAGCTGGACCTGGCACCCAGACCACTTCATTAAGCTGAAGTGGTCTGGGTGCCTAGAGTGGTCCTTTAAGTGAAAACCATGATAATCTCCCTGAGACCACAAGAAAAGAAATGGAAAGGCAAGGATAGCAAACATAGACCTTAATTTGATGGGGGGTTTTTGGATATTTTAAAGGAACACTATAGCGTTAGGAATACAAATTTGTATTCCTAACGCTAAAGTGCCTTATCCACTGTTTTGTTGACCGAGCTCCCCTGCCAGGGTTAAAAAGGTGAATTTACTTACCTTTTCTCCCTCACAGCCCTGTCTCTGGTGTACCGCTCTGCCTCATTGGCTGAGATCATTGAGGAAGCATTGGGAGGCTAGTGTGCATGCGCAGTAAAATGCTGCCTTGCGCCATTCAGATGGTCTCTTTTACTCCACAGTATCAGTGGAAGCGCCTCTAGTTGTTATCAGTATGATTGCCACTATAGCCAAGTAAACCCAACAATGAAAACACTGTTTTCAGCTGCAGGGTTAAAACAGGGGAAGTGGGGAAGACATGGCACCCAGACCGCTTCAATTGTGTTCCTTGAATGCAGATAGTGCACAGTCAGTCTGCCTCCACCAATGAAATATACTATCACTGACTAGAACAGACCATAAACCGCAAATGGCTCTCAGCTTGAAATTTCAGCTACAAATTTACATACATCTTCTGTCTCTGCTGTCTGGGAGTGTGTTCCTCTGTATCCTTTCCCTAGATACTCTCTGTACATCTCCATTCCAACACATTCTCATTTTATCAGTCTTAATTAACTTTATGACTACTTGTATAGATTCGTGGCCTGTGTAAACGCCATGACCTGTGTTGTTCACTTGGTAACATAGAAGAATGGTGTACTCTCCTGTTTGTGTGCAATGTGTGTTCCCTTTATGTGGTCATTGTGATTTGTTCTCTCAGCCTGTCACTCACATGTTGTCTTCTGAACTGGGCACTGTATATATAAAAGTGTCTTATTGCTGTTAACCTGTGTTCTCTCTCTCTCTTTTTCTGTGTGTCCCCTGGCTCTCTCTGTCCTGTTCCCCTATGCTCTCTTTTTCTATGTCCTGCACTTCCCTCCTATCGTGTCTTCTCTTCCTTCTGTTTGTTGTCTTGCTGTAGCCACGAAGGAAAGCCCGGGCCCGAGGGATTAATCTCAGTGTATGTAATGCCTAAAATGTGTCTTTTCACTCTTTCTATCTCTGCGTTTTTTCCTACTCTCTCTTTCTCAAACTCTCTCCATTTCTGACTTTTTTTTTACCAGCCCTTCCACTCTTTGTTTTCCTTTCTCTCTCTCTCTCTCTCTCTCTCTCTCTCTCTGTCCGTTTGATGATCTCTCTCTTTCGTTCTGTTAATGATATTGTAAATGTTTTCCTGCATGTATACAGCTACAGTCAGCATACAGGCTATTATATATATGTATACTAATACACAACTCTTCGGACATATAATAACATATATTATTACTTGTATAAATATATGTACACACATGTGTTACTGCCGCTATCCGACACTGGAAAGTTCATACAACATGTAACATGGCCGCAGTAAAGATATTAGAAATAGGACCAGTGGTCCCCTATTTCTGTCTGCAGGCTCAAAAAAATTGAGTGCTGTTGCTTTACAACTTGAATGTCTGCTGCTTTACAAGGTTTTTGTAGATAGGTGCTACAAAATGTTTCCGCAAGACAGTTTTGTTTTGTTCATCAGTTTGTTTGAACCAGAAATGGTCCACAAAGCTTGGGCTGGATGACAATCATTATGCACATGTAATTTCTCTGGAACTAAAAGTTGTAATAACCTGACTTACCTAACCACTTCATTACCAAGTTACCAAGTAACATATAACTGACAATCGTTAACAACTGGGATGAATAGTTAGCACATAAACAAGACATTTTTTGTGTGTAGTTTAGTGTTCATAGACATTTTTAAAAATAAGTTATGTCAAATAACTCAAATGTAATTTGTTTTTAATTTAATTTGTTTAATTTATAAAGAGCTAGAAGAAGTTTAAGACCATTTAAAAGTTATTCCTTATATTACAATATATTAGTACTAACAATAACAAAGTATTTAACCAGGAAAGGTACATTCAGATTACTCTGGTTTTCAAGTACGTCCTGGTCACTTTTGCCCAAAAGCCAGGTGATGTTACTAGGGTTGAACAGATTCTACTGATAATGCGTTAGCCCACTAAGCTATCTCAGCGTCATTTTTATGGGTCGCAGAAGCTGACATACCATTTTTGGCACACATTAGTTGTAATAATAACAGATAATAAAAACATTTGGACTTTGTAAGCAATCTATTGGTGCTTCTGGGGCTGCAGCTTCCAAATAAATGCTACACAGACGTTATAATAATGTCTCTATCAGGGTAAAATTCCTATATTCAGTATTACTGTTAGACTGGCTAAATACAGGTACCTGTGCTATAAAGCCCATTGCAGTTGCTCCCATCGCCCTTCCTGCTTACTCCCCCTCCTGTGCAGCTTTCTAGCAACAAGATTTTGTCTTCAAAGGACAACTACAGGCACCCAGACCACTACAGCTCAATGAAGTGGTCGGGGTTCCAGGTCCCTCTAGTTTTAACCCTGGAGCTGTAAACATAGCAGTTTCAGAGAAACTGTTTACATTAGGGTTAATCCAGCCTCTAGTGGCTGTCTCATTGACAGCCACTAGAGGCTCTTCTCACTGTGAAAATCACAGTGAGAAGATGCTGACGTCCATAGGAAAGTATTGAGAAAGGGAGCTAGGGAGTAACGTGGTAAAATTATTTTTGCATTGGTTTGCTATTCAAAATGGAATTTGAACAAAAAAAAAAATGATAGTAAGAGCCTGTTCAGGGGGGACACCAATTTATCTCTTTACTGAACCACACTCTTGTAGAAACTTGCACGTAAGATATTTTCCATTGGCTGAAAGAGTACATACTTTTAGGCGATAGTAAACCCACATATAATGTATTCCAGATAGCTCTTTCTCAGAGCGCACTAACTGCTAACATATCTCCCTGATACCATGTAGTATTCCCACCCGTGGCTGAGATCCAAGACGATGTATAGTTCCATGCGGCTGATCTGAGTTGGCAGCCTGCATCCGAGCATATACCCTGCATATACCAGGCGACCGAGTGGTAGGATTTACGGGGCTTGGTTTGATAGTGTCTGCTAAGAGAAGCTAGTAAATGTTGCACAAAATGATTTAATATAACACATGGGTTAAACAGGCTATGTATGCACAGCACGTTGGTTAATTTACCAGTGCATGCACAACATGTTGATTTAGGGTACACACCAAGCACCATAATCACTAAGGCATGCTGTAGTGATTTTAGTCACAGCAGTGTCCTGGCGTCCCCCTATTGAGAAGTCAAACCATTATAGATGGTTTCTGGCTCTTGTTCAGCAGTAGCATGACTGGAAGAGGCTCCCATTCTAAAACGGTCTGACTATTTAGAATGATAGGGGTTGCCAGGGCAATTCTGATACCATAACCACTACAGTGTGTTGTAGTGTTTATGATGTTTTTAGTGTTAATTTATTAAGCACATAATTCAATGACATGCTGAACGAACTACACATCGTTTATAGAAAATGCATTCCAGTGGATTTATGATCAGTGTAAAACATACTCTGCATTATTAGACAGTATCTTGTTTTAATCTTCATTCTGTAGATGCTCAAGATTATTGCAGGATATTGAAATATACATTTTCCATTACACAGAATGCTACATGAGGGTCTGTTTGTGGTTATAATGCAAAAGCAAGGAATGGAAAAGGCTGATTTTCACTCATGTAGAAGAATCAATAGTTTGCATTAAACCTTTCTTTAATTTTTTTTTTATTTCTCTTCCCATTTTCAAAGGTTAATTTAAATTTAATATGTGTCAGGCCTGTTTTCTTTGTTTTAGTTTACATCCGCATTGTCTTTGCCCTTCTATAGACCATTACTGATGGAAGCCCAATGAAGCGATCTGCCTCCATGCTTGGTCAATCCCGGTCCAGAGGCAATAGACTAGATGATTATTCCTTGGAAAGAGTGACCCCTGAGGAAGGATCCCGCCACAACCATCAACGTAGACGCGAGCGGGGACACCGTGTGTCAGAGAAATCCCTTAACAGATACGGAGATCTAGAATCAGGTCAGGCTACTCTCATCTGATGGTAAACGTCATAATGTTCATAAATCAAAATAGAATTTTCCTGAATAAATAATAATAACATTGCTTCTTGTGCTACTTCTTTGGTGTATCCTGACGTTGTTCCATGGTGCATCCTGAACTAGTTTCGTGGTGTATCCTGGCTAGTTACAAGATTAATCCTGTGCTAGTTCCAAGGTGTATGCTGTGATAGGTCCACGGTGCATCCTGCAATAGTTACAATGTGTATCCTGCAGCAGTTTTCAGCATAGTTATCATGTGCTATCTTCATGGTATTTCCTAGTTATTTTCATGGGATATTCTGTGCTACATCCATTGTGTGTCCTGTGCTAGTCCCATGGTGATTCCTGCAAAAAATGGTGTAGTCTGCAATAGTTACATAGTCTGTACCCTGTGCTAATTCCATGGTTTATCCTGTGCAAATTCCATGGTTTATCCTGCAATAGATCCATGGTGTATCCTGCAATAATTCCATGGTGTATCCTGCTCTAGTTTCTGAGTCTATCATGCATTAGTTCCACAATGTAGCATGCTATGGTTCAACGCTGTATCCTGCAATAGTTCTGTTGTTTACCCCAAGCTAGTTCCATACTGTATTCTTTTATAGTTCCATGGTATATCCTGTGCTAGATTCATGGTGTATTTTACATTAGATCCATGGTGTATCATGTGGTAGTTCCATTGGTTATTCTGTGCTAGATCCATAGTGTATCTTGTGCTAGTTCCTTGGTGTGTCCTTGCCTAGTTCCATAGTGTATCATGTGCTATAGATCCATTGTGTATCCTGTACTAAATCCATGGTGTATCCTATGTTAGTTCCTTGGTGTATCCTGTGCTAGATCCATTGTGTATCCTGTGCTAGATCCATGGTGTATCTTGTGCTAGATCCATGGTGTATCTTGTGCTAGATCCATGGTGTATCCTGTGCTAGATCCATGGTGTATCTTGTGCTAGATCCATGGTGTATCTTATGCTAGATCCACGGTGTATCTTGTGCTAGATCCATGGTGTATCCAGGGCTAGTTCCATGGTATATCCTGCAATAATTCCATGGTGTATCCTGCAATAATTCCATGGTGTATCCTGCTCTAGTTTCTGGGTCTATCATGCATTAGTTCCATGGTGTAACATGCTACAGTTTAATGCTGTATCCTGCAATAGTTCCGTGGTATACACCGAGCTAGTTACATAGTGTATCATGGCTGGTTCAATGGTACGTCCTGTGCTAGTTCCATGGTATGTCCTGGGTAGTTCCATGGTATGTCCCGTGCTAGTTCCATGATCTGTCCTGGCTAGTTCCATGGTATATCCTGGCTAGTTCCATGGTATATCTTGGCTAGTTCCATTGTATGTCCCGTGCTAGTTCCATGATCTGTCCTGGCTAGTTCCATGGTATATCTTGGCTAGTTCCATGGTATGTCCTGTGCTAGTTCCATTGTATGTTCTGTGCTAGTTCCATTGTATGTTCTGTGCTAGTTCCATTGTATGTCCTGGCCAGATCCATGGTATGTCCTGTGCTTGTTCCATGATATTTCCTGGCTAGGTGCCATTAGAGCACCAAAACGCACGTCCGGACTTTATTTTTATTTACTTTTTCACTTAGCTCTTTACTCACTATGCACTAAGCTTCATCATCACTTTTGTTTTTATTGTGAGGATGCTCCAAGGGGTTAAGTTAGGGTTTAGCTATGTATACTAGGATATAGGAGACTCCATTGCAGCCATTTATACAGGGACTTATACAGGGCTGGCCCTTCCTATAAGGCGAACTAGGCAGTCGCCTAGGGTGCCATATAGGAGGGGGCACCCTGCACCCCCATCGCCGACCCTAATGCTGCAGCCGCCTGAGATTCTCAGGCGGCTGCAGCACTGCCTCTCTCCTCACCTTCCCTGTAGCATGGGTGGTCGAGCTCCTCTCTGATCCGCGGTACAGGAACATCCATTTCCTGTACCCGGCCAGACTGATAGGAAGTGCACACTCAGTGCAGGGGGGGAGTAAAGAGAACACAGGGGGGGGTGAGTAAAGAGACCACAGGGAGGGTAAATAGAACACAGGAGGAGGGGCTGAGTAAGGAGAACACAGGAAGGGGGTGAGTAAAAGAGAACACAGGGAGGGAGGGGTTGAGTAAAAGTACCACAGGGAGTGGGGGTGAGTAAAGAGACTACAGGGAGGGAGAGTAAAAGAACACAGGGAGGGTGAGCTAGAGAGAACACAGGGAGAAGGGGGAGTAAGGGAACACAGGGAGAGGGGTAAGAAGGAGAACACAGGGAGGGGGGAGTAAGGAGACACATGGAAAGGGAGAGAGGAGGGAGCACAGGGAGAGGGGAGTAAGGAGAACACATGGAGAAGGGGGAGTAAGGAGAACACAGGGAGAGGGGAGTGGGGAGAACACATGGAGAGGGGAGTAAGGAGAACACAGGGAGGAGGGTGAGCTAGGAGAACACAGGAGAAGGGGAAGAGAACAGGAGAGGGGGAGTAAGGAGAACACATGGTGGGGGGGTAAGGAGAACACATGGAAGGGGCAGTAAAGGAACACACAGGGAGAGGGGGAGTAAGGAGAACACATGGAAGGGAAGTAAGGGAGAACACAGGAGAGAGGGAGTAAGGAGAACACATGGAGAGGGGAAGTAAGGAGAACACAGGGAGAGGGGAGTAAGGAGAACACACAGGGAGAGGGAGTAAAGGAGAACACAGGGAGAGGGAGTAAAGAGAACACATGGAGAGGGGGCAGTAAAGAGAACACAGGGAGAGGGGAGTAAGGAGAACACGTGGAGAGGGGGGAGTAAAGAGAACATAGGGATAGGGGGGGAGTAAGGAGAACACAGGGAGAGGGGAGAGTAAGGAGAACACAGGGAGAGGGGAGGGGAGGAGAACACATGGGGGGGTGTGAGAAGAGACCGCTAAGGGGCAGGGGAGAGCTCTAAGGAACGGAAGCTCTATAGGACAGGGGGTGGGACAGGGAGCTCTTTCACACTACGCGCGCACACACACACAATGCATCCCTATACATACTCAGAAACACAATGCATACCTACACACACATGCAAACACACACTGCTTCTCTTACATACACACAGAAACACAATTCATCTCTTACACTCAATGCACCCCTTACAGACACACACGCTGCATCCCTTACATACACAGAAACACACCTTGCATTTCTTATGCATACAAACACAGATTCACACAATGCATCCCTTACATACAACCAGAAACACACAATACATCCCTTAAACAAACACACACTGCTTTCTATCCTTTACACAAAAACACACTGCTTCCACTACACACAAACACACTGCATCATCTACAGAAACTGGTATCCCTATACACTACATTCCATAAACACACACATTAGATCCTCTACAACACACATAACACATCTCCTACACACTCCACTCCCTGTGAGCGAATTCATGGGTGGAACATGTAGGTAGACTTATGGGTGGGCCTCATGGGCATACTCACCGTCAGGCCCTGGGGCCCAGACCTTAAGCTGTGTAAGGGGCCCCAAAAAATGGAGCTGCTTCCTGTTCTCCCAGAACATTGAATTTTGTGACCACAGTTACAAACAGCCTCCAGAGATCCTGTTCTACACTAGACCAGTGGAGCCAAACTGCAGCCAGAGCCCATCACCATCCTCATCTGGTTGTAAGTAGGCAATCTAGTATATTATTAATGGCACTAAGCTCTTATTTACCTCACATTAAAGGGACACTATAGTCCCCAGAACCGATGCAGCTTAATGAAGTGGTTCTGGTGTGGTTCTGGTGTCTTTAGCCTGTACCTGCAAGCTTTTTAATGTAAACACATTTTTTTGAAGCACTGGCGTTAGTTCATATGGCGGATCATATGGGTGGGGCATTGTGATGTCACATGTGGGGAGTGGGGGAGGCAAAAAAAATTTTTTGGCGTAGGGTGGCAAAAATCCTTGCACCGGCCCTGGACTTATACCATTAGCACCCATGAAGGTGCTATAGGATATCAGTATCAGGCACTAATAGAACCTGTGTAGGTGCAGGAGTTTATACTTATTTCTGTTTTTTGGGATTTTGGCGATTATATTTAATAGTCCAGACTATAGATTTTTTGCAGGATACGGAGCAGCATATATGTATAGAAATAGGCACTTTTAAGCCTCCAGACAATTGCTACCTTTGATTACCATCATACTTACCTAAGCTGTGTCTAAAGTTACTTACCTTCTCCCTCCTTCTATCTCTCCAAATCTTCCAATATCATCTCGCTTTGTATACTTATCTTACTAACAGTACCTTACTTTTTTACTCCAATAACCCCCTGTACTACCATTACAGCCAATTGACAATTTAGGTGATCTCTCCCTATTATAAGAGTGTTTGTTTTTTGTTTGTTTGTTTTTTTCAATTAAACTCCCCTCTCCTTTTTCAACGATTGTTCCAGATTATTTGGACATTGTAATTATGAAATGATTCTGCAGGGATGTTTATTATACTAATAGGGAATATATAGTAACAATATATTACCTGTTGGCTTGATTTTTAGGATCACTATATCTAATTATCATATAGATACAACTGTTAGTTTTATGTTTATTTTCGGCATTGGATAAATAAAGCCTGTTATATAGACTGTTAAATGGTTATCTTTTGTTATATTGCAGCAATCTTCTCACACATTGTTTACTGCTGAAGACATTTCATTCAATCAATTACTTAGTGTTATGAAATACCAAACCAGGGATTCTCACATGAGGTTTCCCTGATTTATATAGTTCCTTGGTGTATCCTTTGCGAGTTCCATGGTGTATCCTGGCTAGTGCCATGGCACATTTTGTTATAGTCCCATGGTGTATCCTACAATAGTTTAATGGGGTGTCCTGTGCTAGATACATGGTGTATCCTATGGTAGTTCTATGAGTTATTCTGTGCTAGATTCATAGTGTATACTTGTCAACTTCCATGGTGTATCCTGTGCTTGTTCCTTGGGTATATCCTGTGCTACATCCATGGGGTATCCTGTGCTAGCTCCATGGTGTATCTTAACCATTTCACCTTAATCACTTCTTTAATTTCAGGTCTTGGTACAGAGCTTAGTACCACAACACAGTCATGTGACCTACCTTCTGAGGAGCGTGGACGTACCCGAGATCGAAAGCACCACCATCATCATCACCACCACCATCATCACCACCACCACCATGCTGGGTCAGATCGGGAGCGACTGGAGTATGGAAGGTCAAATTCCCGCTCACCTAGTGCGGGCAGAGACTATGCCCCACACAGACAGGTGGGTCACACCTCCTCAAATGTGGGTAATGAATGTGTTATTGACATGATTTAGTGGGGAAACACTAAGGAGCAATGTTTACTGTACAATTTGTTTATGAGCAATCCAGGACTGAAACATTAAAAAAAAAAAAAGGTTTCCCAGTGTTTATACATTTCTCTTGTTCCTATGGAAACAATAGCTTGTGGTTGTATTTTACTGTAATGTTTCAGTGCTGTATTGCTCACAAAAAAAGTGCTTAGAGGCAACACTGCTTAAGAGTCCTGTAGTGATGAGCTATTATAGTCTAGTATTGTCCATCTGACAGTCCTGTAGATCTTGGTAGTTGAACCGGTTTTTGAGCAGTGATGGCGAATGGTTTTAGCCCTAGTGCCCAATTTTCTACAGTGTATTATTTAAATCTGAAAGTACCCAGAGCAATTCTTCATTCCCTTTTTCCTCATTACAGTCCATTCTTCCCTTTCATTTTCAGTGTTCAACTCTCCTCATTGAAGTTCCCCATTTATGCGTTTACTTCCTGAACGCATATCTACCTCTTTGTCTGTCTTCTCAATATATATTCCCTGCTCTATTTATCTCCTTTTCTCTATTTGAGCTCCTGCCTTCCATTTTACCTTTTCCCCATTTACCTCAGTTCAATTTCCCCCCTCACTGATTTCCATACCAGTAACGCTTACAAACCCTTTTCACTCTTACTCAAAGTTTTTACTCGTTCGATCTCAATATTCACTATATTCAATATAACTGTCCTACTGCCATTCTTCTTTGTTATTCATCCGTTTGCCCACAATATCACTTCCCTTAAAAGATCTGTTCCCTCTGCTCCATGTTTTACATATTAGGAAAGTGTGTCCGCATCCCACCTTTTATTTCCACCTTTATGTTTTCCCCATGTAGAATAGACGTTCCTACATTTTCCTATTCCCCTTCCGAAGTTGTGCTCTCCCTACTGCAGCCTCTTTCTGCTTCACTTAATGCTTAATTATAGATATCATCATTATCTGAGATGGGTTACTATGGTGCACCCTGGGCCTCCAGGATTGTAGGCCTCCCTGTGGGGGCAGACACTGAACGCTGGTGTTGGTACCCGTGTCATAGGTTCGCCATCACTGTTTTAGATTGTGGGAAAGGTTATCAGCAGCATTTTCTTTGTTAAGGTAGGAGCTCATTACCCAAAGTTGGGTGTATACATACGGTATATATAAATATATATAAACATACTGAAATTATAATCTGACATTGGGAATTGGGTTATAAGAACCTTTATAAAATGTTGCCCTCTGTCATCTCCCCATTTCCCCCTTTCTTATTTTCTTGACTTTATTTTCGGTTGTGGGGGGTGCCAGTGATGCCCCTCATTCCATCCTCCCTCCCTACTCTAGTGTTTTTCCTTTCACTACCTGCTGCCCACCATTCCCCCCCTCCCCGCTGGGGTATCAGCTTCCCATAATGCCATGTTTCTCCTGCTGCTCATAACTCTAAAGGAGATTGCAATTGTCCCTGTAGTTTAAAGGGAATGGGGTGGGATGAAGAAAAGTGGGGTAGCCTGGATGGGGGCTTTGTTTTTGTTGCCTCCTCCCATTTTGGTTGGATCTTCTGTCTCTACCCCCTGCTTGTTTTGCTCAATCTGCTTGTTCCTGCACAAAAACTTACAGAAAATCCATCTCTCTTCCACTTTTTCCGTTATTTTTTTTATTTCTTTGTCGCTGTGGCATCCTCACCCCCCTTTCCTTTTAACCCTCCCTGAACCCTTTCTGTGTGTGAGGGCACCCTCCCTCTTTCCTTTCTCGCTTCTTTCTAATTCACATTCTGTTATCTGCTTGTCTGGGTTATTCCTTTCCTACACACTCATCTTCCTCTACTCTTGTGAATGTTTTTCTTTTCTCAAATCTCTTGTTGGTCTGCCCCTTTGTTTTGTCTTTGATTTTGTGGCTTCTCTTCTGCCTTCCTTGTCTTCTCTTTCTTCATTTTCATCTGGCATTACTGTCTTAATTTTCCTTGACTTTTGTCCAATCTTCCATTTTCACATCTGTTTTACCTCCGTTATTTCATAACTTTCCTTCTCGTGTTTATTATCCAACATCAAACCTACATTTTCTCTTTTCCATCATTTCTCTCTCTTCCCTCTTGTGTCTTGTATATCCTACCCCTTGCGTGTCTCCTCTTCGTGTTTTCTCTCGCTCTTGAATTCCCATTTTGTTTGGATTTTTGTGTAGGGCAGTAGTTCAGTGGATGGCAGCCCCGTGCCCTCAACCTCTGGGGCCAGCACACCCCGCAGAGGAAGGCGACAGCTGCCCCAGCTGCCCCCAACCCCCAGGCCACGCGTTACCTACTCTCCAGTGGTCCGCCGGCCTGCCAGCGTCTGTCCCCCCCAGCAGCAACATCAGAGCCCTTGCAGAATTGCCCCACTCTCAAGGAGATATCCTCAGTGTGAGAGCCACCCAGGAGGCAATGAGAGACGGGCTACTCACAATGACTCTCCCCGATCCCACCGCCACACCAGAGGACATTGTTCTGATGCGCCCCGCGCTGGATGCAGGCACAGCGGCCCTTACAGAGATTCCTCCTATGAAGGCCCCCATCCCTGTGACCAGCGCTCCTCCAGGACTGCCGACTCCGGGGGGGGACCCCCTCTTTCGCCACATGGGCGCAGGCTGCCCAACGGCTACTCCCATGGGACCCCGCGACCCACAAAATCTCGTCACGAACGTTACAGTGAGAGTGAGGAGGACGACTGGTGCTAAAAATACAAATATATATATAAATATATCTAAATAAAGGAATATATATATATATATTTACATAAAATAAAAAATCTAAAAAAAAAAAAACTTCAATCTAGCAGGGAAATCAAAGACATGTGCAAACTGGATGAAAACAGGGGAGGAGAAATACATGCAACCCCAAAAAATGAAAAATTTCCACCAAAAAAAGAGAACCCTCCTTTCGTTCCTTCCACATTTTGGGATTAGGAAGGACATCGTCACAGCATGCTTTTTATAATACAGTATATTTTGGGAGGGCTTTTGAAAGAGAGCAGATATCACTCAGGAGGATACAGCTACAAGTTTACCACCTCCCCCCTCTTCTCTGGGCATCTCCTTGATATCTCAATTCTGAACCATTTTCTTTTTGGTCGAATTTTCCCACCTAGAAGAAGAAGAAAAAAAAAATTAAAAACGCAAAAATGGCGTGAGAATTTTAAAAAGCTGCAGAGAACTTTTGGAAAAAAAATATGTACAAAAATGGTATTATTATTTTAGTTTATTTATTTATTTATCTTTTTTCAATTTGTATTGATGAGTTTTATCATCCAAAGGATTGGATATAACGTGTGCTGGTTAATGTTATGGAGAGAGCACGCAGATGCACACGCACACACGGGTGTTTAACACTCATACTTGTTCATATTGCCTGCGGAAATGAGAAAATTAACAAAAAAAAAAAAAACTACAAAAAAAAGACAAAAAAGTTGAGAAAAAAACAAACAAAAAGCAGCATTTGATTAAAACATCTGATTTTTTGTTTGACAGTCCCCAAAACCGAGACATTAAAAAAAAAAAAAAAAAAAAGAAAAGAAAAAAAAATGAATTGCGTTGCTTATTTTAAAAAGCTTTTTTTCCGACTTTGAAAAATGTTAGATCCGGAGTGTGGCGGATGCATGAATATTATAAATGGCAAAAATGTTAAATATATATATAAATATATTGAATTTAAAAAAAGAGTGAGAGAGGATGAAAAAACAGGAATCTGTTCCCAAGTGGCGAGCTGACAATTTGTTCTGTTATTTTTTTTCTTTCCAGCATGACAGGGAGTGGCTAAAGCAGGAGTCGAACCGTTGACTTTTTTTTAACCAGTGAGGTGTATCTATAGTTTGTTGTGTAGTGACGCAATTATCCTAAATGTGCCCATAGCTAGTATTACCTTACCTCACCTTTAAAAGGACGTTATCATTTAAAAAAATGTTATGCAATAACCCAGAGGTGTACAGCGTCAGTACTGCAGGGGGCGCTAGCAGCTCAGATTCATCAAGGTGTCCGTTTAGAAGCACAGAGACATTTAGTGGGATTTTTTTTTTGTTTTTTTTTTTGTTTTTGTTTTTAAATCTGTGGTTTCAATCTATACCTCTATGAATGCAGAAAAAACATACTATGGATCTGCATCTCCCATGATTCTTCAACAGCTAGCAGAGGATTGTGGGGGTTGTAGGTTTCTATTAGAAGAGCTGCAAGTTGGTGCCTCTGTGTTTGCTGAAGCAGATGCTTTTAAACCCTGAGCTATTAGCAGCCCACTAGAGCAGCGATGGTTTTCTGTTGGTACTCCATGCTGCTCAGCCAACCAATTAGCTGTACAGCATCGGAACAATAGCTCATGGCAATTAGGAGTGCCACTGGTCAGCCATTGCTGCTGCAGGACTTGACCTGTGCAGCTCTGTGAAACCTTCTGTGCTGTGTACTGCTTTACAAATGGACCTGCTTGCCTTATTCAGCATGAATTTATTATCTGAAAGAGCAATCTCCCTTAAAGCAAAATATTACTTTGGATAACTCCATCCCTCTCCCATCTCTGCTTCACCCAGCTGGAGACATAACCTGATGATTGGATGTGTACCTTAAATTAAAAGTAAACGTATTTATCAGAGCAGAAATTGCTGCTAAATAACCTCCACTAAACACGTACTAATGGGTTAGTGGATTTAACATCAGTTCCATTTTGTGCCCGTCACCAGGAACATTTTCAAAAGTGATCTAAGGTGCACATTCCTATTATCTAATCCAGTTGCTCGCTTATTTGTCCTCCGTGACCGTCAGCTGTCCAGGTTTTATCGACAGCCCATGTAGAACAAGCTGGGTAATCTGTAAATACTGAACTGTTGGTGGTTTCTTTGGACTCATGTGAGGCCTACTTTTAAAACTATGGTGCACAGCCGAGCATTCATTGACGCATATAAGTTAAGTTCACAAAGTATGTACCAAGCTAAGTACAAAACCGTTTACAAATGAGAGGTGCCATGCTAAATGCGGTACACTTTACAAACGTCTTCAGAGGTACCAAGCTAAGTGGAGGATCCTTTACAAACGTGTGAAGAATTCCCACTGTTCATGAAAAGTTGAGCACCCATTTGTTTGAAGATTATTGGTAATGCTTGTAAAGTGCGCTCAGAAACACACACCTCTGCGGCCATCTTGCCAATATGCAAAAGAGGTGCTCAAAAACGTTAAAGAGATGAGTGTAATAAAACTGATTTTTAAATGCAATTTGTTACATGTATGTAATGTTTGAACGATGCCTACTTGACCAGAATTGTTAATTTTCAGAGTGCTATTAAAAAGGATTGTTTTTATTTTTTATTTAAGTCTTAACTGTTGTTTGATAAGATTTGATGTTAGAAATGCTGGGATGTTTGGGACTGTGGTGTCACACACCTAAGTCACAGTTACTTAGAAGGACTTGTGAATGTGTGGACCAAACAGCACCTTGGTACCTGTATGTGCTATATAGAAGTAGCAGGTGTTTATATGAACATATAGTGGGCGTGCCGACCATTCGGAGCATATTACAGATATTTGTTTTTGGCAGACTGGACCTGCAGCTAATGATCCCTTAATCAAGAACTTATCATCACTGCAATTGTAAGGGACAGAGCTAGTCTATTTGTGCCACATACGCCAGATCCTATCTTAATGTAACGTGGAAAGTATTCTTATATTGTAAAGCAGACACCTCAAAATAATGTGCCTGCTACAAAGAATAAAATATATAATTGAAGAGTAGATTTTGTTTAAAGGGTTGCAGAGCCAGGTCATTTTGGTTTATGACCTCATTTGGTACTTAATGACATCATAGGAGCAGGAGGGTTAGAAACGCACCAATAAAAGTATAAGGTAAATGATGATGTAGAATATTGTTTAGAGAACAAGGGAGGTGAGATATGAGTTGCCTTACCTCCTGCAATAAACTATGCAGTCTTAAATATCTTTCTAATTCAAAGACGTAACAGCACAGCTGATAAAGGATTTCGCTCGGGTATGTGTTAATATGCACATGTTGAGGGAAAATGCAACCTTTGGCACTGATGCTGCTGTTGACTACACTTCCCAAGATCCTTGACCAAACATTTGATCATTAGATTCTTGGCAGTTATAGTCTACAAGCGTTGTTGTGCCATAGACGTGTTTTGCAAAAATAAAAAAAAATTATAAAAAAAAGTGTTTTGTCAAAAGATGCCAATGAAAAATGTCTACTTCTGCATGCAACATTGGGAATGTTAAAGGATTGCTGTCCCTCCCCATCATGCCTTCTTTTGTAACATGTCTACCAGGAAGTTCATGGACAGTGCTGCAGATGTGTAATGTAACTGTACTAATGATGTCATCATCGTGCGACATATGCACACAGAGGATTAAATAATATATACGTACAACATGTCTGTAATACAGGCGCAATGTAACGTCCTTCATTTTTGAGATTTACTCACTATGTGGCATTTATCCGTTTGCACTATAAATAAAGTGTTTCATCACCGTGGAGGAGGGATAACACAATTCGTGTGTCAGGTTGCAGAATATTTCAGACAGAAGTGTAATAACCTGCATACGGGATACATGTGGATGTCTTATGATGGAATAAGTAATAAAAGCATTACAGTAAAATGTGGTCAAACCTTTATACATAGATGCGTGCAGCACAAAATAATACCTCTTTTTTGTCACTACTTGATATTTTATAAAGACCTATTTCAAAAACAAAGCAGTTCACAATGAAGTTTATTACCATCCATGTCTTGTGTTATAAAAATGATTCATTTGGTTTGGGGTTATCAGACAAGAAACCCCTCGCTCTAAAACTGCGCCTCCATATGATTGCACTGCAGGTTTTAATTTTAGATATCTGTTAACTGGTTATTTTAACCAAGCATGCTAATCCACACCTTTACATTATTGCTCAAATGTGATTAATTCTGAAGACTGTAGGATGCCTTGAGAAAACTAGGAACAAGATAACTCAGTGACAGTATCATTTCAAATTATATTTAGCATTAGACCTTCCCCTCAATTATATTATCTTAAGCCCCCATCTCTGTGTTTATTAAATTTATTATATATCTCCAGATGGTTTTCCAAATAATTCTTATGATGGCCTCTAACAGGGGTGTCCTGATAATCGAACATTCATAAAACTTTCAGGAAAGCTTACCCCATAACATTTGTTTTTCACGATGTAGTAACATATATTAATCTATGCTTTTTTGTAATGTGCTGACTGTAGGCTTTAGTAATAATAATAAATTAGTGTTTGTTGGTCCTCCCACCAGTGGGAGCTGCTGTGCTCACTGAGTATTCTACGGGCAGCAGAAGGTCTCTCTAACTGTGTGGACCAGTGACAGCAGCCTAATATGCCCTGTGACTGACTTGCACTAAGAGAGATGCCTTCAAGAATGGTTCAATGAATGAATAAAAGCCTAATAGCTTTAAGGCTAAAGGTTTAAGGATTTTAGGATTTTGCAAAGTAGCATATATTAATATATTAACACAAGATAATCTTTCATGAAAGTTCAAATTTAATTTATTTCTACCCCTTAAAGCAACTTCGTCTCAGTGAAATTGTTCTGAGAGCTGGCGTCCCTGGCAGCCATCTTACTAAGGGACACTCCAGGCACCAAGAACACTTCTGCCCATTGAAGTGGTCTGGGTGCCAACTCCCACTACCCTTAACCCTGCAAGTGCTTTGGGCAATTGCTGCCTCTTGAGTTTAGCTCCACTGCGCTAAACAAACCAGAAAGTAACAGGACTGTTGTCTTCTTGTAAGCCGGAAGGGGCAATTTATCAAACTTACTATTGGATGATCGCTTTTTGCAAAATATCTTTAAACACGAGGACACACTCTTCACATGTAAAGCATTTCGGCAAGCTAAAGTGCTTAAGAGGTCTGAGTGTTCCTTTAAAGTGGTTTAATGGTTTTGAAATAGTTTAACACAGAAGATGCTCCCCAAGTGCCAGTGCTTAATATTTTACTTCTCTGCTTGGCTACTGTACTGAGCAGAGGAAACATTTGGTGTCAATGATTGGCTGAGAGAAACAGCCAACATTCTCTGCCTATCCCTGGCTGCCCATAACGAATACAGTAAGTATTGGATTAGCGAGTATGTCCTGAATCAGCAAGTAACAGTACGTCCTGCATCAGCTGACATTCTCAGTCAGTCACCTGCGCCCAATCAGAGAAAATAAAAAAACAATAGAACATCTTAAGGTAAGATGGACCCCAGGGACTCCAGCTATTAAATCAACTTGGTTGAAATGATGTTTTGGGGTTAGAAAGACCACTTTAGTCACTTCTTCTGTCTCCAACTTGGTTTGTGGGCAGAAAACGACTAAAATAAAATAAAGATACTGAAATCTGCTTATATACACATTATGAGCACAGCTGACTTGTAAAGAGGCATACATGTCATAAAAATGCCTGGTATTTGTTTTAAATAGTTTCCAATTTTAAAATGCATTGTTTTAATCGATATTGTCAGAAATAAATATTAAGACCAGGATCCTGTGTTTAGTGGAGACATTTGTGAAGACATGTTGCAGGCTTGACCAATCCTTTTATTTAATATGGAAATCATATAGAAAATTAATATTGTCCATTAATTAAAATTATGTATATTTTAGTTAAATGGGAGCGCTGACCACCCAAACATGTATCTACATGTCTGGATATTTATTACATATAAACTAAGAAAGCTCATACATGGGATTTGTGTTAACAGAAATTAAAACATACACTGATCAGCCACAACATTAAAACCACCTGCCTAATATTGTGTAGGTCTCCCTCATGCTGCCAGAACACTTGTCATGCATCAAGGCGTGAACTATGTCCTCTGAATGTGTCCTGTGATATCTGGCATCAAGACATATTTATGAGCAGATCCTGCAAGTTGTAAGGTGGGGCCACCATGGATTGGATTTGTTGTTCCAGTACATCCCAAAGATGCTCTATCTAATTGTAATCTGGAGAATTTGGAGGCCAGCGCAACACCTTGAACTCTTTGTCATACTCTTCAAACCATTCCTGAACATTTTTTGTGGTGTGACAGGGTGCATTATCCTGTTGAATGGGGTCAATGCCATTAAGGAACACCATCGCCATGGTGTACGTGGTCTGCAACAATCTGTAAGTAGGGGGTACATGTCAAAGTAACATCCACATGAATGCCAGGACATTACCTAAAGCATAACACTGCCTTCTCTGACCTGTCTTCTTCCCATACTGCATCCTGCTGCCATCTTTTCTCCATGTAAACGACACACACCCCCAGTCATCCACCTGATCCAAAAGAAAATGTGATTCATCAGACCAAGCAATCTTCTTCAATTGCTCCATGGTCCTGTTCTGATGCTTACGTCCCAATTGAATGTACTTTTGGCAGTAAACATTGGTCATCATGGGCACTCTCAACCGGTCTGCGGCCATACAGCCCCATAGGCAACAAATTGCAACATCTTCACAACATCTTTCCATCATGGCCAGCATTTAGTTTTTCAGCAATTTGAGATTCAGTACTATGTGATTGGACCACATGGGCTAGCCTTCACTCCCCACATTGATCAACGAGCCTTGGGGGCTTATGACCCTGCCGCCGGTTTACTGGTTCTCCTTATTTGCACCACTTTTGGTAGGTACTAACCACTACATACCAGGAACACCCCACATGACTTGGCATTTTGGAGATGCTCTGACAGAGTCATCTAGCCATAACTATTTAGCCCTTGTCACTGTCACTCAGGTCTTTTCTCTTGCAAACTTTACCAACACATGGAATTTAAAAACTGACTGTTCACTTGCTGCCTAATATATCCTACCCCTTAACAGCTGCCATTGTAATGATATAATCAATGTTATTCACTTCAACTTTCAGTGGTTTTAATGTGGCTAATCAGTGTATATGGCTTAATCTGTGTTTCAAAGCAGTTTAACTTACATTGGTAATGGAAATTCGCTTGGAAGTCGATAAATAAATTAACAGAGTTTGACCTGGCAGCAGTCAACGTATTGGGTGGAAATACAGAGAAATAAAGTTTGGCTAGCAGAAGAGTATAGAGTGGCTCAACTGTGTTGGCCCAGCCTAGAGTCAAATATTGGGCTAATAAGACCACATACTGGGATTTCCCCATATTTTACGGTTTTATACCTAAAGGACTTCCCAGTTTTGATTGTTTTCAATTTGGGAGGAGCTGCCAAGATTTGAATATTTTAGACCAAGTGGGATCTTTAAAGATTTGCCATTTTCAATCCCGAGTCTTCCCTGTGCCGTGTTAATCCTGTTGTTTAGTCTGACCACAAATTTTGCTTTTAACAACAATTCTGAAAACTATGATTTGACACATTTAATCATATAACATTATTAAATGGCATCTGGCTAATGGGAGTTCATTCCAAAACTTTAAAATGCTAAATTGCTGATGCCAGTATTGTGTATTGGATAGCTCAGTAATACTGTGGTATAATTATAGATACTTAATTTATGTAATTTTACCTAAGGCAGACCAATGGGTGATGAATACAGTTTAACAATCCCTAACAATATGTCACTCTGTGCAACCCACCCCCCCAAAACAAATTATTTCTGTTTCCTGTGGTGCAATTATATGGAAATTAAGCAAATGGAACATTTTTGTGTCCTGGCATAATAATAATAGTAATTTTTCCTGTAGACCCAAAATAAAACAGACTTTAAATAAAAATCAATTGTAAACTTCTCTAAATTTCCGTAGGTAGGTTATTATAACCTACTTCATGTAGAATCACAGGACATAAATAGGGAATACATATATTACAAATTCAATAGAAACCTGGCATTTTGACAATATTATTTTTTTAAACCACAAATCGGTATAATTTTAATAAAATGTTGAAATATGCTCCTTAAATCTTCTTAATGAAATATTTTGCATACCAATATAAAAAAAAAAAAAAAATGTCGTAATTACGTTTTTGTGTTCTTATTGAAATCAGTATTTAAAATATCAGCTCGCCACTGTAGGGGAAGGTTTTTGAATTAATTTAACCCCCTTGTTGCATGGGTATCCCACCCTTTATTTTAAAAGCAGCATGTGTAGAACAAATCTTCTTTAGCTCTCATGGAAAAGACAGGGTTAATTAAGACCATTGTTTTAAAAAAAAGGATTATGCTGTCAAAAAAAATATATAAACTTTTTTTTTTTTTTTTAATGGCCCCTGATACATGCAGGCTATTTTACTTTTAATCCTGCCTTTTTTTCCTGTTTGATTTTAGAATAAAACAAAATTGAAAAAATAGAAAAAAAAATATCTATAAAAATAAAGATGTTTTGATGCATTTTAAAAGAAAAAAGGAATAAATAGTAAACTGCTTTACATTGTCGTTGTAAAACAGAGACTTATTATTTGTGTGTCTGTGACTTTGTGTATCTGCCTGAATTTCCCCAAGTGGGAAATAAGAGGAGTATGGTGAAAGACGCTAGGCAAATTAACATCCGAGACAGCCATAGGCAAACACTACATATGGTTCTGTCCCTAGACAAAACATATCTAAGCTATTATTGGTTTTCATGCCTGCGTGGATAGGGTGAAATTGGCACAGTGACACAGTTAAAAAGAAGTGGCCTGTATGCAAATGTGATATGTGTCCTATGAGTTATCAAGACATGGGACAGTGTAACAAATTAACCCAATCTGTATGACGAGATTCCCTCAAATTGATGGTGTTTTTTACTCAAGACAGGGTATAGATGGGATCTTTAATTTTAACACCTTGTGCCTGTTTCTCCCTTTGGGAAAACGCAATGACATATTCCACAGCACCATCTTGCATGTTTCAAACTGAAGCATCATGTAATGGCCACGATTTTCGCCTAAAGGCAAACCTTTGTACCAACCCATGCTTGATTATGCATAGGATAAGCTCTAGGCAAGCATTGAGTGTGATCTGTGAAAGACAGAATATGAAATGAAATTATGTTCTTCTCGTATTACAAGTTGACCTCCGGTTGTCAAAGAGTTATCTTTAATTTGAAGTAATGATGCAGTAGCTAACTTAGTACACAGTGTCTGCCTGCGATGAGATGTATCTCCCATGATACCAGCTCCATCTTTGATTCCTCGCACTGAGGCACCAGGATTTTTATGTCATGTTCACTGCTGTGTTTCTTGAACTTGGTAAAGTGAGTCCTAAAATCATTTTAAGGAGGGAGATGAATCACCTTTTATAAACATAGCATGAGAATTGTGGCCATGACCTAAGGAACCAGCACACAGAGGAACCTTTCCACAGAAACTCTGCAAATCTCAAAAGAGTATCAATAAGCGTTGCACTAACCACAATATCACTATAGTACATGTTGTAGCTAGGACTTCATTAGAGATACTACTAATGCACATCCCTATGCACTATGATACCCAAGGTGATATTATTTGTGTCCACCCACATATTATCATAACTCAGGCCAATGTAGCATAATGATAATATTTATATTATTTATTTTTCACACAACATTCCAGAATGTTTTGTCCGTAAGTATGCATTTGTTAATTGTTGGTGGGCTAAGCCTTCAGACGTCAAACAAAACACACCTTTCCCCCACCTAGTGCAAATGGCCTCATTGCAGAGACCTGACACTGACTGAAATCAGATTTCCCCAATGACAAAATATCCCCCAATAATGAAATTTACCACCCTGCTTATATTTGTTGCTAGACATGTCTTTTCTACACTGAGTCTGTTCAAATCTTAGGCAAACCAAATTCTTTCTTACACCCAAGCCACATAGCCTCCAAAGCCATGAAGAGAGTAAACAGCTCTTTCAATTGAAAATCTTGTTAGATCAATCCATTTACCCAATAATTCCCCCTTACCACAGAACGCTATAATGAACATGATCAACAAATTAATGTACTGCATCTGGTTCAACAGACCAGTTGTATGACACCAAACATTGTGTTAGATTGTGGCTTTGCTGTAATGGTACAGTCCATGGTGGGAGGTGTGTTGGGCCAATGGTTTGACAAATTTTACTTGGTAGTTTTAGGTCCTTTGTCACCCCATGAAGGAAGTGGATGTCCACTCTGATCCTATGGATGAGGTGAAAAAAATGTAGGTTTAAAACAAACCACAGGAAGAAACTGACTGACTTGTCCATCATCATCTCTTCAAGATCAGACAGCTGTTTTTGTGGCTAGGGCAATCACGGGAAGGTCTGGTGGAGTTGTGTTTGCACTGTGATGTCTTTCCCGAAAAATCCACAAATAGGCCATCAAAGACTGGAGGCATGATAAAATTCATAAATAATTAATTCCATGCAAAAAATAGTTTTAAAAGCAGTTGTTTTTTTAACAATGGACTTTGTTCTAAATAAAGAAGAAAAACTATGGGCAGAAGTACAAAATTCAATATAAATGTGTCACGGCTCCTGGTCCCTCTGCTGGCGTGGCTGCACACAAACTAAGCAGCCACACCGACAGAGATGTTTCAGACTTACCTTGGCCCCTGCAGGTAGCTGCCCGATCTCCCTCCATTCTGGTCCCCAGCGGGTGCAAGTTCTTAGGAATGCCAGACGCTGCGGACCGGACTATTATAAAGAACTTATCTTTGCCCATATCAAAGATGGCGTCAACGTGCGTGTGACGTCACGTCAGAGACAGCCAATTACAGCCTAAGCAATGTTATTTAAACTCAAATTCCTTTTCATCAGTGCCCTGTCGTGGTTTCCACCAGCTGGTTATCCGAGAGAGTGTTCCTGATCGTGGTTTTTTTTTCTGGTATTTGACTTTGGCTTTGTTTTGACTTCCCTGATTTCTGATATCCTTGACTTTTGGTTTCTCCATTGTTGTGTCTCTTTCTGTGTCCCTGACCTCGGAAAGTACTTTGACTATTCTCAGGTACGTTAAGTCTGGCCATTCTAAAGTCCGGTTAAACGTTATCCTTAGTCCTAGGTGTGATACGATTCTGCATGCTGGATCAACAGTAACCGTGATAAAATGTAGATATTGACAAAATAATACATAGTGAAATTACATAAGAAGAAAATCCAAATGTTGCAGAAGGGAAAGCATCAGAAGAGAGGTAAGACAAGAACTTCCATATTACACCCACCTAGAAGCAGAGAACCTTCTAAAAATGTCATGCAGATGAAAAGTCTGGCTTTACAAGAATAGTCAAGATGTTTGCATGTTCACTGGATGGAGGGGTATATGAGTAGACCTTTGCGACAGAGACATTTATGACAATCTGTCCAGCAGTTTATCAACGTTAAGACACAACCTTGAAGGCCACATATTTAGATTGCGTTGCCATTCATGAAATCCAATGAACTACTTAGAGGCCAGTCTCCAAAATGAACACTCTCCCAGTTGGGTTATTTATATAATAGATGGTATTAAGGTACAAGAAATGAGTATATTGGAGATTACTGGTTTTAATTTGTATTAATTTATCCAACTCCTCCTTACAATCTGATGTCAAACTGTGTACAACGTGTGTCCTGTCGCTGGATTCACATGTCGGTTACTATATTATATGCCACCCAAACCATAATAAGTCAGGCTACAGAACAGATTTCTCTCCAAATTTCTGCGTGAGCATTCCTCATATTTTCTAGTAAATGAAGGATTTGAAAAAAACCTACACCGAGGCCGCAGCAGCTACTTCTAAACCAGATGCGGCCCTTGGCGGCTGCCCTTGCCCTATGTTTTCCTACTGTTCACCAAACAATACACAATAAGAATAATAAAAGGGATATGTAGGGATATTAACTAAGCTGGAAATTCGAGAGGATTAGTAATCGAATTAAACATTCTGTAAAATACCATTTGGTTATTTTGGCTTTAAACGTGCCATTCCCCTCTCAATTCCCAGCTTAGTAAATAACCACAATATAAGGTTGATATGTCGAGGTCACACTTACCATAGGTAAATGTTTGCAATAAGTCCTAAGTTCTCAGATTTTTTACAACCGTTATATCTCTCAGGGGATTTTAAGGATCCACTCCTTTACGATGCTATTAGTATTGGACTGAAACCCATGGTACGTGATACAATCTAGGAAGATTAAAAGGCATCTGATATGTTAGTTAAGCTCTGATTTGGATTATAGATACACATTAATGAATGGGAACCTGTGTGGAGGAATAGTGTGCACCTCACTCAACCACATTCCATTATTGGCCGTTTAATAGAATGTAAGAATCACATTTCCTTTTCACTTATGTCAGTACATTGGATAAATATCTCTGAGCATCTTATTATTAGTAGTAATATTATTGGTATTTATATAGCATCAACTTATTCCACAGCTCTTTACAATCTTAGAATCTTAAACATTATATGAATCTTTACCGGAAGTGTTAAGGACACTGTGTAAGCCACATGCCTAGGGCTGAATAAACAAAGTGATTTAACTCTTAATTGGCAGAGAATTGAGCAGTGAGACTGCAGGGGAATGATTTAAACATCAGAAATGATTCAATAAACTAAAGTTGTTTTTGGCGCCTATAGTGTCCCTTTAATGGTGACTTCTGTTAATACTGTAAACCTAAATAGACATTAGGTCCCCTATTGATTATTATTAGAAGAGCGATCGAATACCAGCTCCAGAGTCTGATCAAGGCCCTGATTGTGGGTTACAGTATGTTGGAAAGACTTACAGAGGTGGCTCTCTATTTGGCGATTTTGGCGACTGTCTGGGGCCTTGCGGATGGCTAAATAACCATAGGGACGAACGACCTGGCAGGCACTTGATCCATGACCAAAGGGCCGACACCGGGAGGGGGCCTGGCGGCTTGCCCTGTGTGCTGCCAGATGCGAAGTCCCTTCCGATCAGTGTTCCCTGACAGCGAGTGCCCATCGCCTCCGGTCTGCAGCTCTGCCAGGTGCAGAGTTGCAGACCATGTAATAGGTATCTTGCGATCTCAGCCAATCAGAGCATTGTCGCGGGTTACCAGCTCGCTAGATACTTACCACATGGTCTGCAGCTCTGCACCTGGCGGAGCTGCGCGAATGATGTTCATCCCACCGGACCACCAGGAAGTTAATCAAAAAGGTATTTGCTGTTCAGAGTGGGGAGGCTGTTCATTTGTTGTCTGAGATATAAATGAATCACATCCAGAATATTTCATTAACAACCAGACACTAGGGTGTCTTACAACATTATCCCCATAATAAAAAAAAACACGTTTCCCCCCAGGTTATCCACAAGCAGCGTAAATCTTTGTAACATAAGAGCAAACTATCCAAAAA